ACAGTTTGATTTAAGCAATAAAAGTGAGATCAAAACAAAGTTTGCAGCAGAAGTTGACTCATATTTTAGGTCCCTGCTGCTTCTGATTGTGATTCTGTGCTCTCTGAACTGAATCCAAAAAGTGGTTTCTGATAACAAAAAAAGAAAAAAAGAACACAGATTCTTGATAAACTTTCTGGTTGTAAGACCAAACACATTCATGACTCAGTAACTCCGATAAATTTGATTTCTTGTGCTTGAGAAAAGAGCAGAAACCTTTATCCTGTTAGTGAGGGGAATAGCATAAACCCCTGGTGCTTTGACGAGTAGCATGAGCACGTGAGTATGCAAGTGTGAGAGAAAGATGGTTCCTTGATATGTTTGTAATTAAACCATGTGTGGCAGTGCTGACCAGTGCAATCACACAAACGTGTGAGTGTGTGTGTGTGGAGAGAGAGAGAGAGAGAGAGAGAACTGAGAGACGATGATAGATGACTCGGCCAGTTGTAATATCTCCATACCAGAGGGAGCCATGTAACATTAAATATGGTCACGTATGATTATCAATGGAGGACATATTAATAACCTGGAACATACAAGCAATACAGATGAAGCTGCAGACACATATATCTTCTTCACAACACAAACACTCACACGGGGAGTCACAAATGAAACCACTACCTTATGTGTTGGCAGGTGAAAACCCCCTTCATTGGAAAACATGTCGGGCAGGTTTTTATTTTAATGTGTGCTCTCTTATTGCCTTTTCTGACCCGTCTGTGACTGTGAGCTCCTTTGTGTTTCCCTGCACAAACAGGAATTGTTTCCTCTGCACATACTTGAAAATCAGGCTGTGGTGAGTATTGATTGGCGACTAAGAACAGCATTGGTGATTTATTTGCTGTTTTATACTACTAAAGGTTGACTGTTCACCTGTATCCAGGAGTTTTCAGATTCACTACACACACAGAGCACCTATCTGTCTTCACTTAGTTTTACTTAATACAGGTCATGTTGGCTGAAATCAAACTTTAAGTTGTGCAAATCTTTAATTTAAAAACGACCATGGTTAAAACAAGTTAATTGAAATGACAATTAATCAATCCTTTAAATGTATGTTTAAAATATCATTACTTGTATTTCAAAAAAAAAAAAAAATGTAAACCTACAGAAGCTGAGAACAGCCATGGATTTTTCTTTTTTATGCACTCTTATTGTGTGATAAAGACTTATTATCTCATTATCTCTATATAACAACTTGTTTTCTTGACTTATATGTTTTGTTATCAGGATATAACAAAGTTCATTTTCATTTTCCTAATCTAGGGGGCATTTTTAAAAAATACAGTTGAGGTTGGCTAAAACGTCATTTACGTTATCATGAGAAAATGAACTCTGTTATATCGAGATAATAAAAAAAAGTCAAGAAAACAAACCAATATACAAAGATAACGAGATAATAAGTCGTTCTTGTTACGCCTGTATGGCTGGAAACCAACAGTACATTTACATGTTGCTCAAAATATCAGTTTACTGCATTGGTCTGATTAAAACTGGACCTTAAAAATACACATAAACATGTCAGCCCATCTGAAATTGCACTAAATCAAATTTCTTGTAGTTGGACCTACAAACCTAGATGATGTGGTTGGGCATCAATCTCCTTATCCATGGTTCTTCCTCAATCAGGCTCAAATTGGCCTGGGTGTTGTGAGCATGCCTTTGGTGTACAGACATTTTCTTGCACCCTTACAGGAGAAGTGACACACACGCACAGGGACAGGCAGACAGAGTCGACATACAGCTGTATATACTGTAAGTACGTAGATCTGAGTAACGCTCGCTGTGCCTTGATCCTCTCTCTCTCCAGGAACTTGTCTGGTTTTAGCCTCAGCCTGCCTGAGCTCCTCATGGAAAATGACACCCAGGGCTCAGAACTTACTCTCCTTCTCTGAAACACACACACACACACACACACACACACACACACACACACACACACACACACACACACACACACACACACAAATATGCAAGTAAACGCCTAAGCACCTTTCTGTGTGAGCGTGTGTGTGGCTGCTCAAAGTCGTGGCAGGGGTGGGTTATGACAGCTGAGTCTCAGGAGAGGTTGTGCAGATCAGGGCTGAGCTGAGAACCAGGGCCTGGCTGTATTAAAGGGGGAATTACACGACAGCAGCCCCACGTGAGAGCCTTATCTCCTGGCTGCTGCCTCTCCCACAACCCCTTCCCCCTGGAGCCCTCGGGGGAGGATACATGTCTGTCTGACTTACCCCCTGACTCTCTGTCTGTCTGCCTTACTTACAGCCTATCTGACTTATCCATTGCCTGAGTGTCTACCTTACACACTGACTGTCTGTCTCTGACTTGCTGACTGACTTAAGGTATTTGTATGTGCTATGATTTTGGCGGTCCCAGTCAGAAAGAGATTATGGGAAAGTCACAGATCACCTCTCCAAAAGCTTGGTCTTATATTCAACCATTGATCAAATCATTTATACTTGAATACAAACAGAAATTTGGTTTTACAAGGTTGAGAAGTTGGACTCTGTGAATCACAGCAAGGGTTTTAATGCTCCTCCTCTACCTTTGGAAACCTTTACTCAGTTTGATTCTTTAGGTTTTATAGTAATTGGAAAGGCTGATTTACTTAGAGTTTGATCCTGCCACAAAAATCAAGGTTGGCTCTCTAGTCTTTAGGTTTGATCACACTTGGACTGAATCTTGGTGTTAGTGCAGGTTAATAATGATTTCTGCTCCTGTGGTCTATCTAGCACTTCTTGAGTCATTAAAATTTTAAAAAGTTATGTAAATTTGCTTAATCAGTTAAGAGCCTCAATCAGTGTGAGAGAGACACTGATGAGCTTGGTCCCTCTCTGATTGTAGCATTGCAAGTTCTCACTAATCTCTACAGTCAGGGGCATCAGAGGCAAAAAAGTAGCTGGGGCAATTCAAGGGGATTTGGGGGTCCATCCAAGGACAGTGGGCCCCAAGGTTAACAATTATTCAGGCCCCCGACTCACCTCACAACCATCACCTACTCCATCTACTGTGTGCAACATCAGGCAGGGTCAAATAAATCCTTAAGGCTGTGTTTATGTTTAGAAAAAATGCCAACGGATCTATCGTCCAGATGAGTTGAAGCATAAGTCAGTAAAAGCTTCATGATGTTATTGAGATGGTAACTGATGTGGCTTGACTTTTGACAGTGTCTGCTATCTCTCACCTAGAGGAAACGCTTTTCCTGCAGCCCATGTGCCCATCATATTGTGTGTTCCATCTACCTCAGAGGTCGGAAGTTGGAGCTGGGGATGATGTCACACCCGAGTTATCAGTGTTTCAGTCACAAAGTCGGAAAAAGTAGCCAATGGCCAAAAAATAAAAAAAACACCGGCTGAAACTACCAGGCTACGGTTAACTGTTGTTAGCACGGCCTGCTTTGTAGTTCCCATATACACATGAAAAATATAAATTACACTGACAGCATTTCCATATATATATATATATATATATATAAATCTAACAATACTATTGTATACAGCTGACTTATTGAGACAAAAAATAGTAAAAAGTGTTAATAAAAGGATTATTACAGGAGCCTCTACTTACTGTTTACAACCGGCGCCACCATCTTTAAATGTCAACTTGGGGATTCTGTGGATTGTTTGACTTTCTGAGTCAGAAATCTGACAACTGGAACGCACAAACAGTAGCTAGCAGGGGCAGTTTCTGGTACTACTTACAGGTCGCGTTAACAACACAACGGTTGAACATTTTCGATGCTGGACACGTCATCCTTCTTCCAAAGAGTAGGGCGACTACTCGGCTTGTTATCAATAAATGTGGTAGAGTCCTGCTGATAAACAGGCCCGCCTGCAGTCCTGACTTGGTGGAAAATATTTGGAGCACTGTGACACAGCCTTTCCCCAATATCTTTAACAACATGTGTTTGATTTTCCTGCAGACATCAGCCTGGTAATAAAGACTAAGAGCACTAAGAGTCACAACATGCAAACGAGCAGCATGGCGATAAGATGAGGCAAACTTTGTGGTTCTACTAGAGATTAAATAAAAAGGGTAATTTGTGACACACACCAACTTTGCAGTCATATTGCATCATGACACTCTCTACCATGCCTCTTTCTCCACTGGGACACACAGTAAGCCCCCAAGGTACCACTACAGGCCAACAGTTTAGAAGCAAGATCAGATTTGTACAAAAAAAGATCATAGTTTCATTAATATACTTTGCAACACAATAAACATGACTACTGTGTAAAGAGTAACTATCAAAGACATTTTGACTTTAATTATTAGGTATTTGAATTATTGTTACTTAGACTTTGCTTTCTTTAAAGTAACCTCCTCTGGCTTTAACAACAGCTTGGCATATACCAGGCATTCATTCCACAAGTTTTGTAAGGTATGTTCCAGGGATTGCATTCCAAGCTTTCTTAAGTTCATTAAAAAGAGACTGCTGATTCGTGGGACGCGTTTTTCTGACAGATCGATCCAATTCATCCCGCACAAGCTCAATTGGAGAAAGGTCTGGCGCCTGAGGGGGCCAAACCATCTTTTGAAGAACACCTTCCTCTTCTTTTTTGTCTAGGTAACCCTGACAGAGCTTGGCAGAGTGCTTAGGGTCATTGTCTTGCTGCAAAACAAACTTGTGACCCACAAGTCTGAGTCCAGATGGAACAGCACGGTGCTGGAGGATGGACTGGTACTGTTCCTTCTTCATGATACTCTTTACTTAAAACAAATCTCTTACTCCATCACCTGCAAAACATCCCCATACCATGGAACTACCACCTCCATGCTTAATTGTGGGTGTAGCACATGGTGCTTTCAGACGTTCACCAGTTTGTCTGCAGACATAGACTCTGCGTTTTGAACCAAACAGTGCAAACTTGCTTTCATCTGTCCAGAGAACTTGTTTCTCGTCATCATAAGTCCAATTTTTGTGAGCTTTTGCCCACTCTTATCTCTTTTTTTTGTTCTGTGGATGAAGTAGTGTTTTTTTGCAGATACACAACCCTTCAGACCAGCCTTTCTCAAACTTCATTTCACGGTTGTCAGAAATATGGGTTTTGACCTTGTCATGTTGATTTCCTCCCTTATTTTTGGTGCTGTCTTTCGCCGATCTCTCTCACTGGTGACAATACTATGTTTATCCTCTGCTTTTGTAGTAACTCTCTTTTGTCCAGGTCTTTTTCTATCATCATAACTGCCAGGTTCCTCTAGTCTCTTCAGAGTGTAGTGGACTACTTTCTTAAACACCTTTAGGCGTTTTGCGATTTTCTCTTTCTGTGAATCCTTCTTTCCTCAATGTACAAATCTGTACTTTTGTTTCTTTACTCAGTTGCTTCTTTCTAGCCATTTCTGTGGCATTTTGAATGCAGTTGATATTTGTTAGGATTTTTGTATGCAGACTCTCGAAAGCCAAAAAGTAAAAGTGAATAATCCAACTGTGATTTGTTTTTTTTTTTTGCTTTTGCACTGAAGTTGTGACTCGTGCAAATGTTTTCGACCCTGCAACCAAGCCCTTATTTTCTTTTGCTGACATATATTTAGCAATGGTCTGTTAAATGGAGTAAAATGGTGCATTTCCATGAAAGCAACATCTGATCATGGAGTAAATATCCCAAAATACATAAAACTCGTGCTGGATTTTAAAAAAAGCATTGTGAACAAAAACTTGAAGTTACTCCCAACTGTTCGGCCTGTAATGGCCTTGCTTCCAAACTTTTGGCCTGTAGTGAAGGTACCAAAGCACTGAAGGACATGTCCTCAATTTGCAAGACAAATTCAGTTTGGCCAATGCAGACCTATATTTATAACCATTCAAATATGATTAACAGCAAAAAAAAATCCCCAAAATGACTGACACAACTTAACAAATCAAAAATTAGATGACTGATGCAGTGTTTATTGAGACACGAAAAATTGTACGTTGAACCCACATATAATACAAGATCCGCTCAGGTCTTAATCTGCAGAGATCAAACATTCTTAATCTTGACAGTCAGTCTCTTTGGATAAACTTCAGCTTCATATCTGGTTTCTGCCAGGAGACAGCCACAGCAGCTTTGAAAAGAGTGAGCTGTTTACACCAGGGTTGATGATCAGATGGGTGTGTGTGGGTAAATGGGAATAGCATGAAAGCGTACACACTCATGGCAGTCTTGCTCCTATCACTCATTCATCCCACTAGAGTACTTAGTTTTTCACCTTGCGTGAGCTGGCAGATGGTGGTGCTATGGGCAATCACACTGCTGTAAATGAGAGAGAGAGAGAGAGAGAGAGAGAGAGAGAGAGAGAGAGAGAGAGAGAGAGAGAGAGAGAGACCAGACTTGACTTTAGACCAGATTTGTTCTTTCTGACAAAAGTCAGTCCTTTGGTTTTTCATCTAAATATTATCATGATCTCATGGTTTTGAATGATTGGACATTAAATCCGGCTGTATGTGCTGGACCTCATGGACAGCTGAGCAGGCACTCTGTGGATTATGAGATAGTCACAGAAGTACTGGAAACAGTCATTAATATTCATGATATGTTCTGTTAATTTAGTTTTTCCCTGGTTTTGCTATGTGAGTGTATTTTTTGTGTGTTTTTTCCCTAGTGTTTTTGTTCCCTATTGTTTCTGTAGTCTTGTCTTGTAAGTTTTCAGTGTGTATTTCACCGTTTCCCTTCTGTTCTCTGTGTTTTATTCTTTATATCAGTTCTCAGTGTTTCCTGTTTTATTTTGAAGTAGTTAATTTCTTGTGTTTCTAGTCTGGTTTTACTTCCCTAGTTTTCCCTCCTTCGTTAATCACCCATGAGTTTCACCTGTGCCTCGTCTGCCTCACCTGTTGCTCATTTCCCAGTGTGTATGTAGTCCCTGGCTGTGTCCGAAATGGCATACTGCCTACTATCTACTTACCTACTCAAGCAGTAGCTACTGCCTACTGACTACTCAAAGAGGATTTGAGTATGCCGCGGCTGCCCGAGCGTTTACACACATACATACTAAATACCCCAGAATGCATTTCGTGCCGGCCGGACGCAGCGCCGGGAAAATTTAAATAGTCCTACCACAAGCTACACAGAACGACTGCATCCCGGACAAATTATATAAATTAATTCAATAATAATATTTTTTTCTAGCGAGAAAGTAAGTGTTTACATCACGATTATGAGCCCAGTTGTTTGAAATAGTGGCTGTTTGTAAATTTGTCTCGGCGTTTTCGGAGACCGAAGCGTCCACTTGGTCGGTGTTTGCGTCAGCAGCCCCCCCTTCACGTTTCCAAATTATTGCGAAGTGTTTTCATAATCAACATCTACACGACACAAACCGGGCGGCAGTGGATGAAAAAATTACCCAAACATCCGTGTATCCATGGTGATAATGCTATACACCACCTGCTGGCCGTGTGATGAGCAGCAGAGGGCTGCAAAATGACCAACACACAACATAATTATTATGACCTTGTTCGGTTATTCCTTGGCAAATACATCATTTCCCGACTACATTCTTTTCATGTACAATGATAATTTCAGAAACCATCAGATTTTCAACCACAAGTAAGAATTAGTAAAGCTCACAGAGATTGTCAACTGGAAACTCCCCCGTTTGTATATTCTGAACCATGTGCTCTCTACCAAAGATAATTTTTATTAATCAGAGGTCTGTGCTTAATATGAGCGACCACTTTGATGATGCATTCAGAGATGAGAAGATGCTCAAACTTGATGTAATAAATACATCTTTAATAGACACTTAAATAAATAAAGTCAATTCATACGAATAGTTAAAAACATTGCCTATAATCCTAATTTAAAATACAAATAAATCCGGTAAAAAGATCAAAATATGATAAAATGATGAAAATTGTGTAATGTATACGGACTAAATATTGTTTATCTATTTATATATATATCATTATTATTGCAATCACATGCCATCTATTTCTTTTCAGCCTCGGGAAGGAGGGCCATATTACCAGCTGAGGTGCGCAATGCATTGTGGGGCAGAAGCAGTACGTGAAGCAAGCTCCGTTGCACACTCAGAAATCGAAGCCGATTGAGTATACATCCGGGCATTTCTCGCATACACAAAATTCGCATACTGTACAGTGTGAACGCACTGCCTACTCAATTCAGAGGCGGGGTTAGTAGGAGTAGTAGGAGTAGTAGGCCATTTCGGACACAGCCCCTGGCTGTGTCTCATTTCAGAGACCGCATCAGGCTGAGCGCGCTAAAGTCCACTTAAGTCCAAGCGAGTGTGGCCTCTCACTTGAAATGCGCAGCTGTACAGCGACACGCAAAGAATTCTGGGATACCAAGGCCATGAAAAAGGGGCGGAGGTAGTGTGGTTTTGAGACTGAATTTGAAGCGTGCTCAGCATTTTGAGCCAAATGGGACACCGTTCGCGCCACGTGATGACATCACGCACACTTCAAAGGCGCCGTTTGAGGGTGCGGTCTCTGAAATGAGACACAGCCCCTGTCTTCCCCTCTGTCCTTGTTGGTTTATTGTATTTTGATGTGTGTGCATGTCTGCCTGTTCCCTGTGATCTTTTAGACATGGATCCTTCATCTCCTGGTGTTTTTTTTTTTTTTAAGTAAGTCTCTGTTGCTTTTTATTTTGTTCCTTTTACTAAATCCTTTTTTTTTTTGTCTCTCTTTTGTTCAACTCTGCCACGTGACAATTATGACAATGATCATCGTGGTGCATCAACTTAGAAACATGTTGGCAAAAAGGGCGAACTGCATTTACAACATGTGACGTACCTTTAGTATAATTAAACTGCTATTTACTGTTGCTAGATTGAAACTGAGATCTTTAATGTGGCAAATGTTGTCTTACTTAATTCTCTTCTGGCAGTGCAGTTGTTCTAACTCAAACATTTTAGGAAGCAAAAATAGACAAATAATTACATGAATAAATAAAAAAAAACAAGCGTCAAAGAAAATGTAAACTTTAAACCAGCTGTACTGTGTAGCAAAGGCACAATTGGTTGTCTGATTTTGATCTAAATGTGGTTAAATTTTGCTTAATGATGTCTGCTGACTTTGAAATGTTTATGAGAAAAAAGGAAACAGAAAGTTATGATGAAAAGCAGCCTAAACCGTGAGAGAGAAGAGCATTAAAACATGTGGCTGATTGAGAAATATGTAGTAAAGGCCTCTTTGAACTGTCTTCAGACATGCTTTTAATGATCTATTTCTGTTTTTTAGTATATTCAGGCCATATGTTGCTCTTCATGATGGGAGGGACAGATGAATCTCTAAATCCTGAGGGTTCTGAGCTGCTGTATCTGACATACTTTCTCTTACAACTTGACAAAAGGAGCATGCAGAGATAAATCAGTGTTTCTTCCTCTACCTGGAAACAAGAGCTCTGGTAAATGGCCCAGATTCACACTCACTGGACTCTGATTGGTCCACAGCAAGTGCAACTTTTTTTTTGCTTAGAAAGGATGCCTGACGTGCTGAGTCTCTGCATGTGTTTTCAACTGAGTTTGTCCAAAGGAATTCCGATAAACACACTGATGTTGTTAAAAATAAGGATACATACGAATAATTTGTAAGTCTTAAAGGGGCACAAGCATTAACTCTTCAATGACAGTTTGGAGATTTAAAGAGCTGCAGATGGACAGTAAGGCTTTTTTCCAGACAGCAGAGAAATCATATTTGTCTGCGGGGCTACAAGAGTCCTCTAGAAATAAAGTAGTAATTACGGTTTGGATAGAATTGGCAAAATCCATTTATTCAAACTCTGCAGCTCAAGCTAAATGATCCCATTCATCTGTTCCCTCTGTCAATATTCACACAGAAAACATGCAAAAAAGTCATGTTTCCATGTTCACTGGCTCTCTCATTCGTACTGATTTACCATATGTCTCTATTTCCTAGTCAGAGGATGGCGTTGAGCATTATTCAATAGGAGACTTCAATATCAACTGCTTCATCTGGTGCTGAGGGTCAGGGCTGATATGAGCCATCTCTGACATGATAAATGTGTTTTTCTCTCCCTGCTCACACCTTCTCAAAGAGAAACATAATAACAAAAGTTTGCTTCTGTAGAGGGAAAAACTTTTCTCTCTCTTTTGCGGCTGTTTCCCTTCTTTAACCCTCCACCCGCTCCTGTCCTTTTCCTCATGACGGAGAGAGGGAGGGAGGGAGGAGGATGGGTGATTTGGGGGGTGTCTGATTGCTATGCATTGTTTAGTTTCTTTCATTAATGCTGGGTGCCAGTCCAGGGCTACAGATGAACAATAGCTGGGGCCCCAGGCGTAGATCAATAGCAGATTGCTGATAGTGCCCCGTCCATTCTCCACTCCAGATTACATGATAAATGGCCGGGTCCATACGCAGTGACAGGCCCAGGGCGAGCAGGGCCCAGGTAAGGCCCAGTGTCTGCTAGACACCACATCCTGTGTGTGTGTGTGTGTGTGTGTGTGTGTGTGTGTGTGTGTGTGTGTGAGAGAGAGACAGAGCAGAAGTGTGGGTTGATAAACAAGTGTGTATTTTCTGTTATTGGGTGTTTACGTAAGACAGTTTGAGTGTAAGTGTGCTCTTGGAGGAAAAAAAAAAAATCAGTTTTACACTTGTGCAAACACTGGATGATTTTCAGATGTGTGATTTCATATATGAAGCTTGTTTGCTTTGCTCTTCAGATGATAAAATGATCCACTGTTATATTTTTCCTTTTGGACTTTTTTTGTGTTCACACAGCAGTATTTTAAAGTGGGCCAAAGCACACTATCACAGCTCTGCCCTGACATTGGTACATCACAGCCTCCTCTACCTTCTGCAGCAAATGCCCCCCCCCCCCCCCCCCCCCCCCACCCCCCCACCCCCCACTGGTCAAACTTTGGAAAGCTGACTCCAAGATGCAGACTTATGCTGGCCAGTTAGCAAAATGAGTAGTGGGCTAACTAACAGTGATGAGACAAGAGCCTTATCATCAACATTTTGGAAAAAATGCACATCAGTAAAATACTCAACACCACACTCAGGCATCGGCCTTATAGGTTTCATGGTATGCTGCAGTTTGAAAAAAGTCACAGTTGTAAAACCACAAATATCACAGAGACAGAGAGGCCCATCTTTAGGGCACTCATTGTAGCATTACTTTGGTTTATTCTCAGCGGTAATAGTGGTGTATGACTTTCTAAGTAAAATCTATTGATAGAGCCTTTCACTACTAATTTTTAGCCTTTAACTACTAAAGATTGTATAACATAAAACAGTTTATGTTGAATGAAAATAAAAAAAAAAGTTATTTTATCACAGAGAGTCCCAGACATTATAAAATAACTCCAAAACATTAAAGGCTGAGGCTGATATTAAGACAGATTTTGGATTTCAATAAAAAAAATCAAAAGCCCTTGAAAACTTAGATTTAGATTTTCTTTCCAAGAACAACTGTAGAGGGAAATTCAGCAGATTGGTGTTGAAATCTACACAAAATGAAGAGACGGCAGACAGCAGACCTCGCTGATGGCTGAAAGCCAAAAAGGCAGAATAAAGAAAGATGATATTAATGTATGATCTTGTATATCCACCTTTAAACACCTGACACAACATGAGCTCCTGTCTTTGTTCCTTGTATGAGCATTTGTTGTTTGTAGCTTTATTCATTGTATAAAAAGTATGACTGGCCTCCTCTGTGTGTTTGCAGGGCTCTGAATCCGTGTGTGTCAAAGATGAAGCATTGAACCAGTGACTCACCTTTAATGGACACAAAGGGGTCTCAGGCAAACATAGGGTTTCAAATTGGCAATTTACAGTATCAAGAGTAGGACCCAGTGTCAGCTAAGCCTCAGACTAATAGAGGTTAAAAACCTTCATTGGAGCAAAGAGCAGTTCTGGAGTCTGTGTTAAGACTCAACCTGAGTTGAGGCAAACACACAAACTGATTGTGCGCTTTACAAACTCCATTTCCAATTATTTCCTCTCTTCATAGTGACGACACGTCACCACATGACCGTCTGTTATTTTCCTTTTGTGCATGTTCAAAACAAATGCCGCGGTGTTTTCCCCTTAAGCCACACATCCGTCATGGCTTTTGTGATCAGTGCGATATTTCCCGTAAAATTGATGGGAGAGAAACAAAGTGAAAGTTGTTATAATTCAAGGTCTTTTAGTAAAGCGGAGAACAGCAGTGGCTAGTTAATCTACTCATTGACACGTTGTCCTCTGGTGCGGCTGAAGGACGCTCTTTAGACTAATGACCACACATATGGCGCGTCGCCCATTTAAAAAGAAACAAACACCTCCTGGCCATGGAGGTGTGTGAGGGTCTGGCTCAACCATGTGTGAAGACATGAAACTCCTGTGTGCATACCAACACAGACACAAAACCCATGTCCGTATTATCCTTTCAGTCAGAAATAGAACAAAAAATGAGAAATGATAACACTGATCTCAAAGACATTGTTCAAAGTGTGCAGGTGGGGATTAGCCCGGGATCGGCACAGTTCCTTAAAAAAAAACTGTTAATTGTCAGTGTGTTAACAATGCTGGCTTCAATAACAAGTAATTAACTGATTCATTCATAGACCCAATTTTTAGGTACAGCCAGGGCATTGAGGGGGTCCAGTTTAGTTGTTCCAGGATTGGATCACTGCTTTTTACAGATGATGTGGTTCTGTTGGCTTCATCAGGATGTGACCTTCAGCTTTCATTGGATCAGTTTACAACTGAGTGTGAAGCGGCTGGGATGCAGGCATGAAAATCTCTCACCTTTTGGCGAAATTTGCCGTTCTGAAGTCAAAAAGGGTGACCTACATGAATCGTGTAGTTCCGAGGAGAAATTTTTTTTTGAGGGGGTTGGAGTTGGGAGATTTTTTTTTTTAAATTATCATGTGATTGACTTAATACGCAAACGGAGCACTTAAGAAATCGGCCCTTTAAATGACACTTGGACGGTCAGATGGCTGCTTCGTTGACGAGAACCAATCATAGGCCAAACTGCGTTCCATTATTACAATCATGTGCACACTCTTCACGTGTACTTGGAGTGCTTGGAGAGCCTGTGGTAGCATTGCAAAGCTGCGAGAACGCCAGTGTTGTGCCGTAGAATGCCCCCCCTGACGAGAGCGCGGTTGAAAGTACACAACAAGGCGAAATAATCCAAGTTTTCCTTACCGTTGGATGGATTCAAAAGCGTTTAATGATTTCATTCAGGTTATTCAGATAAGCCGAAAACAATAGCCCTCTGATTCAGAATATTTGCTGTCCCGAAAGTATAATGTTCTCTACCTTGACATCTTACTGTACAGTTTATATAACCAAGTACACCTCGATATGTGCATTTTTGAGACACATTAAAACAGAACGAAAGTTTGCTAGTAGTCATGATCCAAATACTCGTGTGTTTTTAAAATATGAGCTCATTTTCTTCCACTTTAAGAAGCTAATGAGTGGATGGGATGCAGGGGTGCATTCTGCCGTTCACTACAGCTTGCGTTGAACACTGCCAGAGCTAGCCAAATCTCAGGTGAAAAAATAACTTCTGTTTGCTAGATATTAAGTAAGCATCAAGCTTGTGTAGTTAACATAAAAGAAGAAACACAAGCTTCTTTCTAATATCTCTGTAATTGGTATTTCGGGGACGTGTGAGGATAATATTCAGGTGAGGGGCTGAAAAGGCTGAAGGTGAAGTGGTAAATTCTAGAACTTGTTGTCCTATGCTTTGGCCCATGCTTGAAGCCTTTTGTGATAAAAACAAAAATAAAAGAACCCTGGTCTTTTTTACACTCCTTTTCGCTGCTGATGTTATTTATTAATTCATTAAAACGTAATGGTTTTGAGCCATCTAAAATAGCGAAAGCGGGCGTCTCGCGTTTACTGCTCTGGCTCCATCCATTGACAAGACGGGGCGTCAATTTTTTTCAGCGCGACATTAGCGTGAGAGAAGACAACAGGGAAGAGTGTGTCACGAAAGGCTTGCCGTTTGTTTAGACCAAAAGCTACTAAAGCTGTTGTGTAAATCGCTATGTTGCTATTATTTTTATATGGCTGTCAAGAAACTGGGAGTGCTCAGCAGGCAAAGAAGCAGGCTGCTGAAAGTGAGAAGCAGGCAAGGCTGAGGCATGTGGCCACTCAGCGTAAAAGACCATGGAGACTCTGGTGGCCCAGGCAAAAAGAAAAAAGAAAAAGTGATCAATTGGACTTGGTATTTGAATTGCATGTATTGTTCTCCAGTCTGCAAGGGCATACATTGATCTAAAGTGCAGGATGTAAAGTCTTTATTTTTTTTATTCTGTTTTTTTTTTTCTCTTTTTTTCATATGGCCTTGTACAAAAAGTTTTGAACACCTCTCTCTGACTCATCTAACTCATTTAGCTTCTGTGAAAGTAAACTTTGTTTCTAAATAAAGCATGGCCAGCACAACATGCGCGTGTGTGTGTGTGTGTGTGTGTGTGTGTGTGTGTGTGTGTGTGTGTGTGTGTGTGTGTGTGTGTGTGTGTGTGTGTGTGTGTGTGTGTGTGTGTGAGACTTGGAGTGTTTTTGGCGCCTCCTGCAGATCACTGAAACACAGTGCGGGTGGACAGAGCTCAATATTTTGTTGGGTTGTACAGTGTACCGGAACGTATTTCCTTCGCACCCTTCTCACCTTTTTAACCCCTGACCCATTTTCATGCCTGGGGATAAGAATCAGCACCTCCACATCTGAGTCCATGGTTCTCAGCTGGAAAAAGGAGGAGTGCCCTCTCTGGGTCAGGGATGAGATCCTGCACTAGGTTGAAGAGTTCAAGTGGTCTTGTTCATGAGTGAGGGAAGAATGGAGTGAGAGATTGACAGGCAAATTGGTGATGCAGCAGTGATGCGGGCACTGCATAGGTCTATTGTGGTGAAGAGGGAGCTGAGCTGAAAGGCAAAGCTAACAATATATCGGTCAATCTACATTCCTACCCTCACCTATGGTCACCTATGGTTGTGGGTAGTGACTGAAAAAATAAGATTGTGAGTACAAGAGGGTGAAATAACTACCCTCCTCAGGGAGGCTGGGCTCTCCCTTAGAGATAGATGGTGAGAAGCTTGGTCATACAGGAGGGGCTCAGAGTAGAGCTGCTGCTCTTCCACCTTAAGAGGAGTTGGTTGAGGTGGCTTGGGCATCTAATCAGGATGCCTCCCTGATGCCTCGTTGATGAGGTGTTCATGGACAGGTGGATGGATGGATGGATGGATGGATAGGTGGATGAAGGAGTGGTGGTAACTAACCATGAACAGATCAACAGAAGTGTGCCCAGCTCTTGTCTCCATTCCTATTACCTTCAGTTAATGTTGAGAATACCAAGAGGAAGGTGAACATGTCCTCTTGCTCGTTTTGTCAGCTCCTCTTGTATGTTTTTGCTGACATATGAACTCCAATGTGAAGCACTCCTGAGGACACATGATCAGACTTGGGTGAAGTTGCTTGTATGAGTAGTCCAATAATAGTATACTGACAAAAATTTAAGATAAAATCCTGCAGTTGTCACAGAAATTTACCATTTCAGGATTACCCCCTTTAGATGTATCATCATGTTTTAGACAACAAAAAACATTTAAACCCCTGACTTGTTACACATGTATGTCTGGTGTATTGTCAAAATGGTGTGAAGGATGGAGACTCCATTGTTTACATTCTAGGCCTCTTTCCACTACATAATGACTTCCTTCAAAGAAACAGCATTACACTCACCTGAAGATAGCCTCAGCACAAGCTTTTGCCCTCCAGACACTTTACTGCAATGTTGTGCTCGTCCATTTTGCTAAAAAACTTAAATAATGGAGACAATCCCACTAAGAAAACTCTGTCTGCTCTGCTGTAACACTGACATATTAATTGAAGAAGCAATTCTTTCACTTAGTCTCATGCTTAGCTCACAAATGGCTATAATGTGCTCACAATGCAGTGACTGTTCACTCACTGAATCAGTTTTAAACTAAGAGAGTGCATTTGCATCAAAAACATGTTATAAGTAGGTCTGTGTTACTCATGAGACATCACACTTAACTCAGTGCATTACCAGCAGAGATGTACTGGTGGATGTCTCTCTTTCTTCCTCACTATTTGTGTATTTGTTAGTCTCGGAGACACACAAACTAAGTCATCATTATGTTCAACAGGGTAATAAAATTCTATAAAATTAAAAATCAAGTCTGAATTTGATCTGGAAAGTCTGAGGGTGCAGTTAAGTCAACGTCTGTCACTAAACATAAGAAGCTGTGATGTGTTTGAACAGGACTGTGTGTCCACTCCCTGCAGTGTGTGTGCTGTTGGGATCAGTCGCACCACTGGCAGTCTCTGTGTGAAGCTTTTATACACCTTCAACGCAATTATTCAAACCCTCCTGTACAGCTGCTTTAGCCATTCAGACATTTATGAACTACATCATGTCAATTAATTCAAGACTTCTGCTAAGGATACACCAGTTTAGGTTCAATCAGAAGGCTTTGAATGCAGAGGGAGTGTGAGCTTGTGAGTGACGACACTTTCCACTTGTTAATTTTGTTAGGAATGGATGGAGTAAAAAAAAAAAAATAAACATTCATCATCAATTAATTAATAATTAATAATCATAGACTGTATACAGAATGCAAGTGGTGGTTCCAGGAGGTGGAGAAAATCCTGGAAATAAAGAGAGCTTTTCAAATTCGTATAATGACAGAAGGCGGAACCAATTTGTCTGTAGTATATACAGTGTATGGTTTAAATGAGTTCAAATTGAAACTAAACTAATGTAAATACACTGAATGAACATTCCCACCTCATCCCTTGAACAGTTGAGTTCCTTGTGTCTGTTGTGGATGAAGCCATCTTTATTGTGAAAATTGCTCTTGGGGTACAACGGCCGCTGTTGCTTTGGTGACGGGAGAGGTTGAGATGTTGCTAAATACCCTCATTCTACACAGTGACCTCTGAGATATACAGGAAGTATTTAGAGCTGCAAAACATACAAAGATGCTCTATAGGTGTCCCAGACTGACAGAGAGGATAGGCGCTATGGATCCTTGACTCCAAAATGAACGTGTTATGGAGCAATACCTGAGAGCTACTTCAGGCAGAATCCCCAATCATCATCCACCTGCAGGCTCCAACAGGGTGTTTTCAGATAGGATCTCAACACTCCTCAAGTTTTCTGTACAAAGAAAAAAAAAGTTACACTGATATAAAAATTGGGGGGAGATGGATACTTATGCAAGACACTGTATGTTACAAAGCAGCAAAAATACAGAGAATAATAAATCAGAGAGCACTTAGAGTTTGTTTGAATAAAGTCTCTTTGGTAAGTTGGAGCTGGGAAATGAGCATTTGAACAAACCCTCTCTTGTGTTAAATATTGATACTGATTCACAGAACTCCTCAGCGAGAAGAGACTTAAGACATCTGCTGCCGACAGAGAGAAAGGAAGAGATCCGTGGCACTGGAGGTGGAAGGCTTTGATCACCACTCTTCAACAAACGCTGCTCCCTGACATGCACACTCACACAGTCTCTCAGTAACACACACCCACAACCTGAAGACTCACAGAGCAAGGGGAAAAAGGGAGTGAGGGAGTGGGAATGATGATGAGAGGAGGTGAAAGACTGCAGGCCACTAGAATAATCCTCTAGTCTTTAATTAAAACCTGCTAATGATCACAGAGAGAGCGACGGACTGGAGGTGGGAGAGAGGGAGAGACGGAGAGATAAAGAGCCAGAGAGAGATGAGAAGTCATTTTTTTCCTTTCTTTTTTTCATGTTCTCTCCTTACAACATCAGGACCTTATCCATCCTCATCAGCTCTTTCTTCCACAGACCAGCTGACTGAACCAACATTTGTCTGTCATTTAGCTGAGAGCAGATGAAACGTTAGCTGGTACAGATGTTCGCCGGCAGGATCTGGAGGATGTCATGGAGCTTCAAACAGGCTCTCAGTGGGCTCACAGTGGGCTCCGTGGACCCCCATCTGTGAAGAGTCAGAGCCTGAAGGAGTGAATTTCTGTTCTTGGTGACTGGAGAGCTGTCTACACCTTTTATAAGGACCTCACGGTGATACGAGTCACTGTGTTAAGGCTGATTTTCAATTTCTGATTTTTTTCACATGGATTTTCAAATTGCCTCACTCGCTTTAACTATTTCAACTTGATACAAAGATATCAGCAAGAGTAGCACACTGAGTAATTTACTGATTCTGCCATGAACATGACTGAAAACTAAACATCGCAGGAGATGCAGTGAAACATTAACTGAGCCAAAGACATTTTAAAATGTAATTTTACTTCAGCCTACTCGTTCTGGAGCAAAAACGATTGGTGAAAGTAATTTGGTGAAACATTGCAGAGAAACCAAACTGCCACAAAATGTTACAATGACCTGATAATTCACAAAGAAACAAGGATTTCCGTTGATGCACTCTCTCCAGAATCTGTTTTCAAGCTGAGTAATTTGTTTACCAGATGTTTTGTTGAGGACAGTTTATTTCAGTCAGGACCACTTTCATAAAAAAAGGATTACTTGCATGCATTCATTATATTTGGTGGTATGGCTCTGTTCGGAGACCTCCCTGCTCTTCCACATGTTATGTAATGTTAAAACCGTCAGTGGGATGATGGCGAGCCGACCATCCATCCATATCTAGGCGCAGCCAGGGCATTGAGGAGGTCCGGTTTGGCAGTTTCAGGATTGGGTCACTACTTTTTGCAGATGATGTGGTCCTCTTTGCTTCGTTGGCCATGACCTTCAGCTCTCAGTGGATCAGTTTACAACCAAGTGTAAAGTGGTTAGGATGACAATCAGCACTTCCAAATCTGAGTCCATAGTTCTCAGCTTGAAAAAAGGGGGAGCGCCTTCTCCAAGATAGATGAGATCCTGCTTCAAGTTGAGGAGTTCAAGTATCTTAGGGTCTTATTTACAAGTGAGGGAAGAATAGAGCGGGAGATTGACAGGCGAATTGGTGCAGTATTAGCAGTGATGCAGATGCTGCACAAGTCTTTCATGGTGAAGAAGGAGTTGAGTCAGAAGGCAAAGCTCTCCATATACCGGTCGATCTACATTCCTACCCTCACCTATGGTCATGAGCTGTGGGTAGTGACTGAAAGAACATGATCGCAGAATGATTAATTGCATTTGCGATTACATCGCGATATGATAATACACGATTTTTTAACCAAAAAGGCTGTGACTTGGACTGGTCACGCGACTTGCAAGTGCAGCGAAGCAGAGCAGGTAGACAGAGAAGTCAGCTCTGGACTCTGTGGCACTATGGGCTAATTCTGCTTCAGAAGCTGACACTGCAGAAAGTTTAGTTCCAAAGAGGAGCAGCGCGGCAGTTGTGTGGATTTACTTTGGCAAAAAAAGATGCTGCTGCGCAATGTGTGCAGAACCTGCCGTGCCAACAAAGCCATGTAAGAGAGTTAAATAGCTAAAACACCAGCAACCAGTGCTTCGACTTCAAACCACATCTGCATAACGATGGAAAACACATCCAATACAGTGATGGCAGCACAGCTGAATGAAAAGACCAGACTCCAGTGTTTCGACCACCGATTACATCTCGCCATTGGTGTGTAGATTAGTATCATGATGTATATGAGGGCACGTGCATGTGTGTGCGCGACAGTGTGTGAGCAGAGAGAGCCTGAGTGTGTGTGTGCTAAATAGTAATTGCCAGAAAGAACAATTCATGTATAATAAATCAGATATTATTTACTATAATACAGATTTGTCCATGTAGATTCTCATTCATCCAGGTCATGGTTTTCTTGAAGACTTAAAAACAGGCAACTGGACTGTTTAGAGTTGAGAAGATGTCTTCTCAACTACACAGTCCATTTGCCTGTTTTTAAGTCTTCAAGCAAATAAAATACAGATTGATTTATTGTTTGTGTTGGTTGAAAAAAACATTAAAAGAGGACCTTGAAAAGATAATTGCATATTAAATCGCAATATTAAGGAAAAAAAAATCCCAATTAGATTATTTTCCAAAATTATTCAGCTCAGTTTATGAACTAATTTTTGTGTCCAAATAAAGACAATGGGCTATATATCGTAGCCATGGTCGACGCGCAGTGGTATTTTTGTCTGGCGGTGCCCAGCACACAGCCAGTTTGTTATTTTCGTAGACTGAGGCATGCAGAGGTCCGCCAAGCTGGACGTGAATGCAAGGTAGGGGGAGGGGTTCCCCTACCAAGAATCAACTGGTGCAGTGACATTTTCGTGCTCGCCAGGGGTGTGACAAGTACGCTGAAAGCTTGCCGATTCAAACCTGGTCAGCTTTCAGCGCAGGCAGAGCGCAGCTGGTCTAGTGGTATTTTGGTAGACCAGCGGCATGTAGTACGCATATGTCACTGATGCCTCACCGGCAGGTTTCCACAGAGTCAGGCACATTTCAGTGCAATAATTAATCCTCAACAACTAATAATCTGAGTCAGCACAAACATTTAGATCTATATCAATATATTCTGATCTATATCTGATCTGATGAGCGCGTTTGGCATGTGTTTGGACACGCCACCTGACCGAATTAACACAGCTAAAACAGCATTAAATTAAATATCCAGTAAACAGTCACACATGATAAGGTTAACAAGATATTTAATTCGTCTCCCCGCTTATCCTTCTTCTTCCTCGCGCAGCTCGATAGGTGTTGTGTCGTAGAATGCACCTGCCATAGAATGCATCCCCTGCATCCCATCCACTCATTAGCTTCTTAAACTGGAAGAAAATGATCTTACATTAAAAAAAAAAAAAAACATAAAAAAAAAAAAAACACGTATTGGATCATGACAACATGTCAAATGGAGCAGCAAACTTTCGTTCTGTTTTTAGGTGTTTAAAAAATGCACATACAGAGGTGTACTTGGGTATATAAACTGTACATTAAACTGTTAAGGTAGAGAACATTATATTTTCGGGGCAGCAAATATTCCGTATCAGAGGGCTATTGTTTTCGGCATATCTGAATTAGGGGTGTGAATCTCATATTCGATACGCATCTCGATGCACTGCCAGCAATACGATACTTTAACGATACATGGAATTTTCTGGCGATACGATGCGATACGATTCACCCTCTTCACGATGCGATACGATACGATAATCATTTAGTTCAAATCAATGCGATCCGATACGACATGATGCAATTTGTTGCGATATGATGCAATTCAACATGATGCAAATAAGCAAAGAAAAAAAAGAAATAAAAATAAAAGATGGAATTCAGTATGGTACTACAAAAATGATTTGGCTTTATTCCTTAAAGGCACTTAGCGGTTAATTCAACAAAAGTGCTTTTTGTCTTTTTTCTATGCTCCTTTGGGTTCCATTTTGTACAGTTACACAGATTAGACAGACCTCATGCAACTGTTAAGGAATCTGAATCAATAAAATAAAAAAATAAAAAATAAAAAAAGGATTCCAATCCCAACCCTACATCACACAAGTGCTCTATACTTGTTGGGTAATATTACAGTACACATTATTAAACAACTAATGCACTGCCTAACATGGTGCAAATAGACCATTCAATGGCCATACTACTGTCTGCCAAACCGATGTGCTAGAGTTGACTTTCTAACTGGCCACTGAAAATCAGTGATTTGAGTGAGTTCTGCAATAATAAAAGAGTAAAACAATTACACAATAATTACTGCTGTAAAAAGTACAGTCAGCAACAACAAAACACTCTCAATGAGTAACCTAAAGTGACACTTTCAACAGTGCAATCAATGTTAAGGGAGGGGAGGTGGCGTTAGACTTGTCGGTGATGTGGTGTACTCTTTTTAAGTGGGTCTGCATGTCGTGCTGCCGTTGTACGGCTTCTTAACGCGGCATTCTTTGCAAATGACGGACGTTTTGTCGAGCTTTCCGTCTTTCTTTGCAAATCCGTAGTGTTTCCAAACATGTGATTTAAACGTAGCGAGTGCATTACATATGTTGTGATTTGTTGCATGTTGTGATTTATGTTTATTAAAAGGAAGTACTTTACATAAGTATTATATAGTTAAAAGAAGATTGCACTGTTTAGAGTCAAAAACATATTGAGAAACATAATTGTTTACTGCATGTTTCAGCATTGATATGCACTATTTGAGTTTATTTTGGAAAGACTATACGCTGCTTTTATTTTGAAGGAGTCACCAGGAAGTTCTAGTCAGTCTGTGTGAAGTTGATAGAAAGAAAAATATATTCGGAGAAGCCGCTAGTGACATGTGATTAGCTGACACGCTGAGAAACCAAGCGACCCTTTTTTTGTATTGCCTTTTTTCACCATGTTTGTATCTTTCAAAAACTGAAAAGGTCAGTAAACTTTGGTCAACGTTATTTGGAGTCTCATTTCACCATTTTTTAGAACTTTCCAATACATTTTGGTGCCGAAACCCGGGATCTCAGAGACTTTTTTTGATGTTTTGAATTGGAAGTAACGAACGAAATGTCCGACGCCATGGAACGTATGAAGAAGAAGAGAAGAGCAGTCCGTTCTTCAGTATCAAAGTTACTGGCTCGTATGGAAGAGGAAACAAACAAAGGGGAAAACGAAAGGGACTATGACTCGCTGCGTGAAATGCTGTCATTATTAACGATCAAGGAGGGACAATTAACGGAACTGGACAGAGGCATTGAAGAGAAAACTGTGACGGAGGAATTAGACTCTGAATTAGAGTCCTCACAGGAATATCAGGATCGCATTATTTCATGGAAAACACGAGCAAGCATACTGATCCAGAGAAGCCCTGGTGCCCGGGAGGAGTACGTGAGTAGGCGCACTAGTGCGGGAAGTGCAGGCCCGGATAACTCCTTGGCGAGACAAACTGTTAAACTGCCCAGGTTAGTGATTGAAAGGTTTAATGGAGAAATAAGCCAGTGGCCACTGGAGTCAATATGACACTGCTATCCACTCCAATGATGCGCTGTGTAAGAAGGAAAAGTTCACTTATCTGAAATCCTACCTAAGTGGAGCAGCAGCAAAAGCGGTAGCAGGGCTCACATTGACCGACAGTAATTACGACAATGCAATTGACTTGCTCAAGAACAGATTTGGAAGAAAGGACATTGTGGTCAGTGCACACATGTCAAAACTGCTAACCCTGACACCTGTGAAAAGATCCTCAGATATAGTAGCACTGAGATTTCTCTATGATGAATGTGAAATACAGATTCGCAGCCTAGAGTCCCTAGGTGTTCACAGTGACACATATGGCGCCCTGCTATGCCCTGTATTATTGCAGTTGATACCAGATGACTTGGCATTAGGCTACACACGCACGTTGGACACTGATGGTGAATGGAAGGTGCCTGAGCTAATTAAATTCCTGCAAAATGAAGTGCAAAGTAGAGAGAGAGCACTACAACTGACCAGGTCAGGCAGCTCCCAAAAGGACCATTCCCAAAGTCACAGACCGTTCACAAAACAAGTGCCATCCAATGAGAATAAATTCAAAACTGTGCCCTCAGCAGCTGCATTGCACACAGCCAGTAATGCCCCTCAGACCTGTGTGTATTGTGACAGTCCCAGTCATAAGCCAGAAAACTGCTCAGACACCACAGAGACTGCTCGAAAGGAAAAACTGAAAAAAATGGGAAGATGCTATGTGTGCCTAGGCCCCAAACATATAGCCAAATACTGTAAAGTCAAAGGTGTCTCATGTGCCTTGTGTGGTCGCAGACACCACCAGTCAGTCTGTGATCAAGAAGTGCAGCCAGGCGCTGCTAACAGCAACAGTACAGATGCTGTGGTTTCTTCCGTGTCTAGCACAATGAAACCAAAATCTAATGAACCCAACACAGTGCTGCTTCAGACAGTTAAGGCCAGGACAGAGGGCCCAGCAGGTAGAAAAATAGTGCGTTGCCTATTAGATGGAGGCAGTCAAAGAAGCTTTATACATGAGAACCTGGTGAAGACACTGAAACTGCCAGTATTAAAGCAAGAGACATTGAACCTCCACACCTTTGGATCTGCTGGTCCCATGGCAACAAAGCGCAACATTGTCAAGGTAGTGCTGGAGAATGTGTGGAATACACAGCAAAGAATTGAAATTGCAGCAGTTGAGACCCCTCAAGTGTGCACTGCTGTTATGAAAGTGCCTGGAGAGCACATCAGAGGAGAATTCAAGAGGAGAGGTCTGCAGCTGGCAGATTTCCAGTTAGATGGTGCTGAGGACCCCGAGCTGTTGGTCTTAATTGGAGCTGACTTTTACTGGAAAGTGATGACTGGCAAGGTGGAAAGGCTAACAGAGTCACTTGTGGGCTTAGAAAGCACCTTTGGATGGACTGTACAAGGGCCAGTCCCAATGTCTAGTGTAACAGACACAACCTGCATGCACATCAGTCTAGATGAGGACACTCAGATCTCAAAACAGTTGCATGCCTTTTGGGAAATAGAAACACTGGGCATTGTAAATGACAAAGCTGAAAACCCAGATGATACGGAGGCTCTTCAGAGCTTTGAGCAGACAGTGACATTCAATGATGGTCGCTACCAAGTTGAATTACCATGGCGACTGGACAGCCCACCTCTACCAGACAACTTCAGAGTTGCAAGGAAAAGATTTGAGAGCCTGAAGAGGAAACTGGTTGCTGATGCCACTCTGTACACAAGGTACAACAATGTGATGGAGGATTACCTACAGCAGGGAATTTGTGAGGATGTCTCAGAGAATGACTCAGCAGCAGAGTCAACAGAAACTGTGAAATATTACCTACCTCATCATGCTGTACTCCGGGAGGAGAAAGCGACGACCAAGCTGAGAGTCGTGTTTGATGCCTCATCACATGAGGCTGGAAGCCCCTCACTAAATGACTGTCTGTTAACTGGGCCAAACCTAAACCCTGATCTGTTAGATGTGCTTATCAAATTCCGACTGCACAAGATAGCTTTCACTGCAGACATCACCAAGGCTTTCTTGCAGATAGCTCTAGCAGACAAAGACAAGGATTCAGTCAGGTTCTTGTGGCTGCATGGACCCCCCACTAAGGACTGTGACAATGAGCTGCGCATCATGAGAATGAGTAGAGTGGTATTTGGAGTTTCACCAAGCCCCTTCCTCCTAGCTGCAACCATTAGGAAGCACATCCAACAGTATGATGCAGCCCAACCAAAGGCAGTAAAGGCACTTAGAGAATCTTTATATGTAGATGATCTGATTTCAAGCTCATGTGAAGTGGAGGAGGCCTATTCAGTCACAACAGGAGCTAAGAACATTCTGTCTGCTGCTGGAATGAACTTGTGTAAATGGGCCACAAACTCACCAGATCTCAAGTCAAAATGGACAGCGAATGGATTCGAACAAGCTACAGAACCTGTCACTTGTGGGAATGTACTGAAAGTGCTAGGTCTAGTGTGGAAACCAGAGGAAGATCACTTTGTGTTTGACTTAAATGGACTTTTAGACATTTTGAAGGACAAGCAAAACACAAAGAGAAGCGTGCTGCAAACGTCAGCTCGTATTTTTGACCCTATTGGCTTCCTCACTCCGTTCACCATTAGGGTGAAGCACCTCTTCCAGCGACTGTGGGAGAGGGGAATTGGTTGGGATGACCAGTTACCCCCAGACTTGGCAAAGGAATGGAACCGGTGGTGTTCAGAACTGCCACAGCTCCACCTTGTGGCGATTCCCAGGTGGTATCACATTGAAATCCAACCAAACATGCAGTCACTGGAACTACATGTCTACTGTGATGCTAGTGAAAAGGCATTCAGTGCTGTTGCATACATGCAAGGAAAGAACCAGGATGGGGAAATTGTGACAAGCCTTGTAGCATCAAAGTCGAGAGTTGCCCCTCTAAAGAAACTAACTTTACCACGCTTAGAGCTGATGGGAGCCTTGATCGGAGCCAGATTGGGAAACAATCTGCTTAAGTCCCTGAAGATGGAAAAGAATCAGCTCAGGATGTGGACAGACTCGATGATCGCCTTGCACTGGATACGCAGCACAGCACACAAATGGAAGCCCTTTGTGGAAAACAGAGTGACTGAAATTCAAAATTTGACGAACCCAGAATCATGGTCACACATCAGTGGCAAAAGGAACCCTGCTGATCTACCCACCAGAGGCCAGAGTGTGGACAATCTCATCCAGAGTCAGCTGTGGTGGAACGGGCCTGCTACGTCACTGACAGCTGAACCAACAGACACAATTGAGACTGAGGAGGACTGTACTGCTGAGGAGGCAAATGCTGAGCTTAGGACTAAGTTCATGGTAGCAGTACAATTTACTAGCACTGATCCAGCTGAACCATTGTTAGACCTTGATAAGTACAGTAGACTGAGAACAGTGTTCAGATTAACTGCGTGGGTGAAGAGGTTTGTGAACAATGCCCGCTCAAGCCAAAGGACCCATGGAGAGCTCACTGCAGAGGAGCTCACTGCAGCTGAAATGTACTGGATAAAGGTGACACAAGAGCAAGGTTTCAGCCAAGAATTAAATCTACTGAAATCGGGACAAGAACTTGACAAGGATTCAAAAATCAAGGACTTGAAACCATTCCTTGATGAGAACAGCCTTATCAGTGTGGGAGGAAGGCTGCAACAGTCGGAGTTCAGTTTCAGAGAACAGCACCCATGGGTGCTGCCCCCAAAACACAGATACACTGAGCTCTTAGTTCAAAACTACCATGAAAAGGTGATGCATTCTGGGGTCAGGGATACTCTAGTGCAGATAAGGGAGAGCTACTGGATATTGAGAAGCAGACAGCTGGTTAAGCAGATTGTGGCACGCTGTCACATCTGTAAGAGACTAAAGGTGAAACCAGCTCAGCAAGTTACTGCTCCTTTACCAAGAGACAGGATTACAGAGTCCCCACCCTTTGAAGTCATGGGCATTGATTTCGCTGGCCCGCTGTACGTCAAGTCAAACAGCCAGACAAAGAAGGCATACATTGCACTGTTCACATGCGCTGTCACTAGAGCAGTGCATTTAGAGCTTGTATCAGACATGTCCACAGAGAACTTTCTCTTAGCCTTGAAGAGATGCATTGCGAGACGTGGGCTATGTAAGGTCATTTATTCTGACAATGCCAAGACCTTTAAGAGAGCAGACCAAGATCTGAAGGAGCTATGGAAATCATTCAAGGAACCGGAGCTCACTGCATTCTTCACCGAAAAGGGCATCTCGTGGAGGTTTATTGCTGAGAGAGCAGCTTGGTGGGGCGGCTTCTGGGAAAGACTTGTGAGGTCAGTGAAGACATGCCTAAAAACAGTCCTAGGGAGGGCCTCACTGAACTTCGAGGAGTTGACCACCACTCTCACAGAGGCGGAGGCTGTGCTGAATTCTAGGCCACTCTCATATGTGCACAACGATGCAGATGAGCCCACACCCCTGACACCCGCTCATTTTCTGGTCGGCAAAAGACTGACTTCACTGCCACCAAAAGCTATGATTCCAGAAATTCAGTCAGCCAATCTAAGCAGAGAGAACATGGGGCGCAGATGGAAGTACCGCCAGAGACTCCTAAACACCTTCTGGACCCGCTGGCGCAAGGACTATCTACTGGATCTGAAATCAGCGCATAAGTGTGACACATCCAAACCCACTGAGCTCAAAGTGGGAGACGTCGTGCTGATTGGAGAGGACAAAATGCCTCGACAAATCTGGAAAACAGGCAGGATTGAAGAGCTGTTTCCAGGGCGAGATGGACTGCCACGCTCATGCACAGTTCGTACCCCTACAGGGACACTACTGAGAAGACCTGTGCAACTGATCTATCCTTTGGAAATAACCTAACTTGATTCAGGCATAGATTAGTATTCATGAACATTGTTCATGGGGCGGGAGAATGTTGTGATTTGTTGCATGTTGTGATTTATGTTTATTAAAAGGAAGTACTTTACATAAGTATTATATAGTTAAAAGAAGATTGCACTGTTTAGAGTCAAAAACATATTGAGAAACATAATTGTTTACTGCATGTTTCAGCATTGATATGCACTATTTGAGTTTATTTTGGAAAGACTATACGCTGCTTTTATTTTGAAGGAGTCACCAGGAAGTTCTAGTCAGTCTGTGTGAAGTTGATAGAAAGAAAAATATATTCGGAGAAGCCGCTAGCGACATGTGATTAGCTGACACGCTGAGAAACCAAGCGACCCTTTTTTTGTATTGCCTTTTTTCACCATGTTTGTATCTTTCAAAAACTGAAAAGGTCAGTAAACTTTGGTCAACGTTATTTGGAGTCTCATTTCACCATTTTTTAGAACTTTCCAATACAACATATAAACTCTTCCTCGCTGCTGCTCACTTGAATGTGGTCCATGCTGTTTTACTAGTAGTGCGTTGTATGTCCCTCACGGCTTCCGCCCGTATTCAATACAAAACGTGAAATAATGATGGTGCATTCAATGCGCCTGGGGAACAGCAGATTGGTGAAGTTTAACATGAATAAAACGGCGCTTGCATCGGATTTTACCGATACCCACCAACGCATCTAGATGAATCTAGATTTAACCCGTCAATTGCATCGATACCCAGTGAATGAGCCGACGCAGTCGCATCGCGCACATGCGCATCGATGCATCGATTAATTTAGATTATTTTCCACACCCTTAATCTGAATAGCCTGAGTGAAATAATTAATGGCTCTAGAATCAGTCCAATGGTAAGGAAAACTTGGATTATTTCGCCTTGTTGTGTACTTTCAACCACGCTCCCGTCAGGGGGTGCATTCTACAGCAGAGGTGCATTCTATGGCGCAACACCTGACATGTCTCTGTGTACTCTCTCCATCCTGCTGCTGCTGTGGTGGCACGGCTGACCAGATGATCTGTTTTAGTGATCAGATTAGTTTTTTACTTCAAAAATTAAAAACAAAAAATAAAATCAAATAAAAGAAACTTTAAGAAAAGTTTAGAAATTGGTACCAAAAAAAAAAATTCTGTTTCCAGTCCAGCATGAACTAAAGAAGCCTCTGTGAGGACCTGTCATTTTGTTTCCGTTCCACAGAGGTGTCTTCTGTGGTAGTAATCTGTTTTGAGTTTTATTTCTGTTGTTGCCCTTTGTATGTCAGAGGGGTTTTAACAGCTGAGCTGCACAGTTTTTTTTTTTTTTTTTCAAAATCTTATCCTGTTTCCAGTTCCGAAAAAATGACCTGTTGCTGATTTCATAAACTTGTACTGAAGTAAAGCAGAGGCTGATTTTCTGCAGACTGAGCTGCATGAAGCACAACTCAATTATAAGCCTTATAATACCTTTCATACATATAAACCTGGCCTTCAGCAGTAGCCTTTTCAGTAATCTAGTGTTGTATTGGTCCATAAAGGATTGACACTTGTTACCTTTACAAATATCTTCCTATGAAACAAAAATATTATCCGATATCTTGAAGAAGTCTAGCAGAGAGTTCTGTGTGCTGAAACTAACACAGTGAGTTAAAGCTCACCTACAGTCCACCTGGAGGCAGCGACAGGAGTTTAAACTATGGGAACAATGTATTAGTCAACGCTGAGAGCCTGTTTTAGAGTTTTAGAGCTGCAGGATGACGAGCTGAGGAACACAAAGCTCATATCCCAACGGGTAATTTATTAGAAGACTCGGCCTCTTGTTCATTTTGTAAAGGCTTTTCCACAGGCAAACATTACTATCATTCTCCTGACACACCGACACAGGCATATAATATGTGTGTGTGTGTTTGTGAGTGTGTGTGTGAGAGAGACAGAACGCTCAAACACTCAATATTCAGCCTGCAGATGAGTTCTGTTTGGCTCTCAGATTAAACATGGGGGAGTCCCAGGTCAGTTACTTATGACACACACGGTCCCATCCCTCACCCAGCACACACTTACACACACACACACACACACACACACACACACACACACACTGAGAGTCTGACGCCTGTATGAGAGAGATCAACGTCCAATCCCCGATGCAACTATTCATAAATATCAAAACAGGGAAGTGGAGCTTCTTGCTATCAAAGCCACGATAGCATGCAGGGCAATATGTTTCCAAATGGCAGATGAGAAATGTGCTTATGACAATGATGAAACAAGATAGCAGCCGTGATGGAGCAGCCGTGTCCCCGCTGTGGTTTTCTTGCTGCATTGTAATCAGACTTTGCCTAAAGTGTGCACGATGATATCAGAACTTGTGAGATGATATTGGATCAGCGCTCGCTGCAAACTTTACACACACACAGGATATATACAGTACGCAGAAGTTCAGTGAGAAATGGTGTCTGTTTATACTTTATGTCCTCCTCCTGGTTATCATCAGCTCACTTCTGCTGCCATGGCCTTTTCTTACTGATCCTTAGGTGAAACAGGACCTCTAACCCGCTGTACTTTTGAGGGGATTCCTCAGAAAAGGAACAGATGACTAAAGAAAGATGACTGAATTTTGATATAATCACATAAATTGCGGCTTCACTCATAAAAAAAATCTCTTCAAGAGATATTCAGGTGTAAAATTTAATTAGGGTCAAACACACTGTAACACTGAGTTAGACACCCACTCGAGAGATAAATGTCACTGACTACTTGTTTCTCTAGTTTTACCACTTTCAGCAACAGCCGCACAATAGCAATACACAGCGGTCTACGTTTCCACATGCAAACCTCAACCAAAAAGCCACTCTATAACCACAAATAATGCTCAGAACAGCACCTAACTTCATCAACAGTACATATAGGGTCCCAGCCATAGTACTAGCTATCAAACATCTTTTTAGCTTTGCCTGATTTCTTTCGAAAAGTGAGTAAACATAACTCACCCACTCTCCTCCAGCAGCTGCTTGTCTGTGGGGGGAGCCCTGACGAGTCGATCACCAGGTGCAGCGGATCATTTTCTTAAAGTAATAATCATAATTAATAATCATATTAATCCTTTTGCACTGCAGACGCTGTAGTTCGTCTGCCTTAGCGTCTCAGTCTGATTGTATTTCCATGAAGAAATAATGTCCTTCCTTGTTCTTGCTTCATCTTTGAAACTCCGCTGCACTTGGTGATCGACTCGTCAGGGCTCCCCCACAAACAAGCAGCTGCTGGGGGAGAGTGGGTGAATTGTGTTTAGTCTCTTTGCTTAAGAAACCAGTCAAAGCTAAAAAGATGTTTGGTGGCTAGTACTATGGCTAGGACCCTGTATGTACTGTTGATGAAGTTAGGTGCTGTTCTGAGAATTATTTGTGGCTATAGAGTGGCTTTTTGGTTGAAGTTTGTGCGCATTACTGAAGTTTGTGTAACTTGAGAAGCAAGAGGTCAGCAAAATTCATCTCTCAAGGGTTACGGTGTGTTTGACCCTAGCTTAATTTTACGCTGGAAAATCCCTTTAATGAACCCTGTGAAGCCCTTCTTTCCAGCAACAACCACTTATGCGTTCAACCTGTGATAAAGGCTGGAGGTAAGAGATGTTGTTATTGTTGCATAAAGCTTTTTATTTCCACGGATGGTTGTTGAAGTTATGGAGATCAATATGAGGAGCATATTGTAAAGGTTTGAATGGTCTGTGATTGCTAAATCTATAAAGTCAAATCTTGCTCTCTGCAGGCAGGTTGTGATTTTTTACTCCATCGCTGTGCTTTCTGTCTTATTGTTTACCTGCTCTCTTCTTCCTCTGTCTCCACACGTCTTGGCTGACAGGTGACATTTAGTGTCAAGAGAAGACGTATGTCCCTGACCGCCTTATTCTCTCTGACAGTGTGTGTGTGTGTGTGTGTGTGTGTGTGTGTGTGTGTGTGTGTGTGTGTGTGTGTGTGTGTGTGTGTGTGTGACAAATTTAGTGTATTCCCAGCTAGTCGGGTCACTCAGAGTATTACATGTGGCCTGCAGGGGCAATGGGTAGAGGAAATGAAGGGCTATTAGAGAAAGAGAGGGAGGGAGAGAAAAGAGTGGCAGAGAGAAAGACCAAGACATTTAAGCTGGAGGCGATGTGACAGTGGAGACTGTCCAATAATGATGATGTGTTCCTATCAATCTGAGCAGGGCTGCATGGTGCCACTGCAGCCCACAGCCAGGCCCTGCTATGCTCCGTTTCATTGTAAATATAGTGTTATACCCAAAACAAATAATAATAACAGTCACAGCAATAGTAAAGGGCGAGTTTACATTCTCCAGTAAAGAGTTGAATCACTCGGTTATGGTAATCTTTCTTTGTAATGCTGCAAAAAATAGTCCTCCCCAGAGAGGAGGGCAAAGCAGAGAGGTGTTTCTGCACAGCCACATTTGCATGATGAGAAAGCGCTGCTCATATTCATCTTGGTAAAGTCACAGTAAATGACTCCAACAGCATTATCATCTGTTTTACGCAGGTGTGCGGCTGGGGAAAATCACTCACTTCAATCAAAAAAGCTGCAGCTCGCTGCGTAAGGAGCCTCATTTTTTACCATCACACTGGAGGACACAGGAATTAGACGAGAGAGACGTGGTGGCTGGGAGAGGGAGAGACGTAATAACTTTATTTTCTCTGCAGTTTACACAGACGATTGTACCCACATGCAGCTGAGATGATTTGTATTAGTGTGTGTGGACTTTGCTGACATTTGGAGCATTGTAAACTATTTTAAAAGTCTCCATCCACCCGAAGCAGCTGGATTATCAACGCAGTGAGCAGCTCTTCATCAGTACAGTCTTAAATGGAATTGTGACAACCAATAGGAGCAAGATAACCATCCAAATGACCAGCAGCGTGTACTGCTTTATATTCAACAGGCTCTTAAAGATTCCTGCTGAGTGATCAAACACACTGAGATGACCATAATGGGACAACAGTAGAGAGTGGTTGCAGAACTGTGTGCAGAATTCCTCACTTTGGCTTTATTTTCTTTAATCGTTGATGAAAGCAAACACATCAGGACACATAGAGATATTTGACCTGCATGGTACTTGTGATTTTACCACCAGCAGCTGGGCCAAGTCCTCCATCAAGTAAGATTTTATTTTGATTTCACTTTCACTCTCTTAAGGCTGGTGCTTCCATGACCCCTCACGGTTTAGCGTTGAACAGAACACAAAGAAATGCAATAAAAGAGCATGTCTTCACTGAGTTTTGGAAAATATGTAGTTTAAACTAACCTAGATGAAAAAAGATGGTCATGGTTTCCCATCATCCCAGACAGCACATGTACATCATGTCGACATCATGCCCAATACATTTAGTTTCACAATGTCGCAAAGAAGTCAGGCCTTGATCTAAAATGATCAACACACGATGGTTGGACGATGAATCCAAGTTGTATAAAACAATGCCGACCTAATACAGATTACTAGTTGCTACCTACTTTCATGTGTGTGAATAATGAAGAGCCATAAGTCAAGTCAAAACACTTTATTGTCCGGACTCAGCACAGACGGGAGAAGCAAACACCTGCAAAACAGCGCACATAACTGGTTCTTCCTCCGACAGCCTGCAAAAGAAAATAATAAAAATAAATAAACAGGGGGTGGGGGGCCAAGCACATGAGTAGTTAAAATAAATGTCACTTTACTGCGTACCTTCAATAGTTGTAGCCGTTTCACTTTTTTTAATGACCAAATCCATTTGACTGAGTGAAGGACAGCTGTGCAGATCGGCCACCACCAAATCTTTTGCTGAACAACAGACTACTATACTAAAAAGCTAACAGAACTAAAAACAGCACCAGGACAAGCAGTCCGGTGCTTTAGTGCTTACCTGTAGCTACCTGGTCCGTTTGTGTCTGAGAGGAGACTGGGCATACCCAGTAGTTAGCAACTTTATTAACCATCACAGAATTGCCTTTAAAGCTAATATTCCACCAATTTACGTCAGTAACTTACCTGAAAAACAACAGCAGGGAATTGGCATATTTTCCTCTGCGTTAAATGGCATGTAATGGCGACTGCCATCGGGTGACTGTCCCAACTGTCAAAACTGGGAGGCGGGGTCGGCCAGCCAATGCAAAAATGACTATGACTAAATGACTAATGACAGTCACATATTGTCCCATTCTTGCCTGATAGAGGATTTCAGCTGCTCAATAGTTCAGGGTCTCCTTTGTCCTGATTTTTATGTCATGATGCTAAAGATGTTTTTGATAGGGGGGACAAGTCAGGACTGCAGGCAGACCAGTTTCTTAGCAGGACTCTTCTACTACAGAGCCATGCTGTTGTAATCCCTGTTGTCAGAATGTGTTTTGTCATTGTCTTGCTGAAATATGAAGGTCTTCCCTGAAAAAGTCTCTGTCCTAAACCTGTAGATATTGTTCAGCATTAATGCAGATATGGAAGAGAAAAAAATCCCAAAATGTGACCTAGAATTTTACCCATTTTCATCTAAAGATTGCATCTGACTGAAAACAGTTGCGCCTGTTCTCCTGTGATTTAGCTGAATTTACTTAGACATAAGGTTCAGAGTTCAGAAGGGTTTGTGTTATGGTTTTAATTACATTTTTAAAGGACAAATTACACAAATTACAATTCTGATAACTTTGCAAAAACTACGGGCAGTTTTTTTTATACCACAGAAATGTCTTAAATCCTTTAGCATCATCAGTCTAACTGTGCTTCCTTTATTTCCACTCATGCAGGTAAATGCATTCATCTGCTTTGTGTGTGTGTGTGTGTGTGTGTGTGTGTGTGTGTGTGTGTATGTGTGTGTGAGTGTGTATGTGTGTGTGTGTGTGTTTGTGTGAGGGGTTGAAACTGTTTGAATTGGCAGGTCTCCCAGGATGCTACTTTGCAGGCGGACGTAACAGATGCACCTTTATACCTGCACAGATATAGTGTTTCAGTTAAGCTGTTGGTTATGTATTTCTTCACTGTGTGTGTGTGTGTGTGTGTGTGTGTGTGTGTGTGTGTGTGTGTGGTTTCCAGCTTGCTGGTTTTCCTGTGTGTCTATATTGGCCGGCGTTTGTGAAGAGGGTGCAAAACAGAGGAAGACAGGGCCAAATCATGCTCACCTCTGCTTTAGCAAAAAGCCAAAGAATAATGCACTTCATAAATATTTATACCTGTTTCTGATTTCATATTCATCTGCAGTACAGGAGTGTGTGTGTGTGTGTATGTGTGTGACTTTTTTAGACTGGGGTGAGCACAGGCAGTCTCACTCTTCAGTCTCAGCAGGGTGCAGCCTCCCTTTGCAGTGTTAGAAACTTTACAGTATTATGAAGCTTGTTTTCACGCTCACACACAGATGCACAGTATTTCACTAAGACAGTTACTGAGATGAGAAACTGCATCACGCTGGTCAAACTTTGCAGCAGATTTTCATGCATAGCAGTGAATCCTTTGTTACCACATTCCTTTAAATGCACATAATTGTGAAAGCTCATTTTAATCTTATCAGAATAAAAAGACAAAAACAGATGTCTATGATTCCTCATTAGATGTTCACTTTCCCCTCCTAAAACTGCTGTTATTGTATTACTGATGTCTGTAACACTGACATATTATGAAGCTGTGTTTTCTTCATATTGCCGATCATCACCTCCCTGAAAAAAAAAATCCAATGATTGTCGACTCGTGTCAGATTTTGAGAGCTGTAACCGAATAGAGAGATATCAGGGAGGAATATCCTCTCTGTTTTGGCTTCACTTTGTTCGACAGTTTCTTTTTCTGTCCTTTTTTTTTATTTGAGGGGAGAAAACAAACACCCTGAATGTTACATCGAACACAGTACAAAGAGCAGTCTATTGCAAGTGTGTGGAGAAACAGCCCTGATGAAACATAATCGTGTTTTAACGTGATAGAACAATATCCCTGCCTATAACTCCCTTTAACTCTTACTTTTGACGTGCCGCTGAAAACACATTACAGCATGAGATGCGAGCCTGTATCAATTCTGCCTTTATTTTTTCTTTTTGCAATAAAACAGTTGAAGCTCTCACCCTCCGATCTTTCTTCATGCTTTCCTCTTCCCTCCCCTCTGCTTTATTCTCTTCATTTCACCTCCTCCTCCTTTCAGTAGCGGAGGCAAAGGAAGCAAGAAGTGGTAACACGTAGCATGTCTTCATTAAAGTGTCACTCCCCATTATTTTCGTGCTATCTCAATTAGCAGCAGGTTTAATAAAGGGCCTCTTCTCTCTCTCTCGGTCTCCTCCTGTAACTCTCTCCATTTCCAACTCTTCCTCTTTAACTCCGCAGTCACCCTGAGTGATGAAGTCGCTGCTCAGACAATGATGGGCAGTGCAGGAGGAGCTGAAACATGGGCGAAGAAAGGGAAGAGAAAACAAAGAGAGCAGGTACATCTGCACCAGTTTTCTTTCTCCTCTGAGAGCAATTAGACGCTGCCCGCAGTGGCCGGTCCCCAGACTGATCTGCAGCTTCTGCTCTTCTTTGTGAGCGAGTGTGTGAGTTTCTGCTATAATCACCACAGCATCTCAAACAGCTCTTTGTGAGTTCAGCAGAAATCAGCTAATGCACCTACAGGTCAGATCAAGAGGGCACCAACACACACAAATCACACACTCACAAACACACACATACACATGGATATAAACATCATCGCAGTCACATCTGGCTGACTGATGATAGGCAGATAAATCTCTTACAACACATGAGCATGTGAAGTACAGCTGTAAAGGTGCTCCGCCTAGTAAAACCAACCATAAACCCAAACCTACTGCTCATGTCTTCAGCCGGAGATAAACTGGATATATGCTGGAGGAGCAGTCATGAGCATGGATGTTATTCTGCAGACAGTAATACACTGATACCTGCTCCTCCCTTTACTCATGCCGGGTAGATTTACAAGTAAAACCAGTGTTCAAAAAATGAGTGCAAACAAAAGTTTCTTTTTGAGGTGTCCATGTGAAGCGTACTCCCAAAGCTCTGCCACAGCAAATCCCCAGATTCACATTTTGACAGCAAAAAAAAAAATCACATTTTTGCAGCCTAATGCAAAATGAAGTGGTTTTTAGTCTTCAACATAATTCTTGAATTTGTAACTGAGCCACCTGTTCGTCTCCTATCATGTGAAAGGTTACAGTGAGACCTGGTAGGTCAAGCTCCAGGTCACACAAGGAGTAGTTACCTCATTCTGCGACTCTCACACCAGGGAAATAACAATAAATGAATAAATAAACTTTTAAAGTCGTCTGGTACTCGTGGTACAGTCATCAGTCAGTATGTCGCATGTAAGTCGTCTTGTTCTGGGAGGCAGCGGAAACCTCAGCAAGAGAGATCCAATAATCCACTTGGGAGTCTTATGTAATGGCTAAATTCTACAAGATACAGAACGGCTGCCCTCCGCTCTGCTCCAGTATGGCAGCCTGATCAAACACGCAAGCATTATAATCTATGTGCGTAATTCCACACAATACACCCGCCATCCAGCTCTACTGTGGATCCGCTCCAGCGGTCGGGTCAGATATGCAAGACAAAGCTAAAGTCACCACAGAACCTCAACTGTGATCATTTTAGATCCTTTCAGGCCGACTCAAACAAGATAATGTTAGCTGGAGGCAGTCATCACGTAAACTTAATGTATCGCAGCACCCTTTTGTCCTATGGTGCAAATGTCATTATCTAGCTTATGCACTTGTCATTTGATTTGCTAGCACCTAAACTTAACCGACAATAGCACTCTATGGTGGGTTGGTGCTAAATTGGAGTGCGGAAAGCGTCAGCACTGTAGACCTAGAGGTTTTAAATTCTTATATGTATTTCTTGGCAAGCTTTATTTTGAAAGTATTTCCACATGATCCATATTTATTGATGCTAATTCAACTATTCAAATGTGAAAGTCTGAACAGGTATTGAGTATTTGTACTTAATGGACTGCTGGGCTTGTTTTTTTTTTCAAAACCACTGCTTTTTCGATCAGTGTTGACCATGTAGCTCCTGTATGATGCTGCCATAATCTAGCTACACAGAGAAAATATTTCCCATGTGAAAAAACAAAGGCAAAGAATAGATTAATTTGTTTGGTAGGTAGCAAAAAGCATACATCATAGTAATGACATTGCATCTGCAGATTCAGATTTAGATGCACATTCAGTGGTGCACCAGCAACCACAGACATACTTAACATTAACCCTCAGATGCAGCCTACACACACACACACACACACACACACACACACACACACACACACACACACACACACACAGACACACACAAACATTTCCACTGCTAGTGTGATTACTGTGGAGAGCTATATCACCACTGTCATCTTATATTTAGGTTTCCATGGTTTGTTTTTAGGCACGCTAACTGAGAGTGCATACATTTACACCTTCTATCCCCAAACTCCTCACACAGACACACACACACAGACACACACGCGTGCACTCACAGTATGTGATGGCCAGTGACAGGAGTGGGTGGTTGGTCAGGGGCTGATCTGTGTGTAATTGGGGGATATTATAGCAGCCATCTCACTTAGCCTCTGGGAGACTGATCTATATTCACTCTGCAACTCATATTCACATGGATCTCGGCGCGCACACACACACACACGCACCCACTCACACACACACAGACACACACACACACACACACACACACACACACACACACACACTTTTATCTCATATAAGCACTACAGACTCCATTCTTCCACACACAGTCCACAGACCAAGGACAGAAGATAACTGAGATTCACAGAGATTCTCAATGATGCTTGTACCGTGAAACACACTCACTCACACACACAAATAACAAAGCACACATACTCCATGCCTAAAGTTAAACAGTTACTTCAATAATATTAGAGGACAAAAAAAAAAAATTAATTAAAAAAAAAAGGAACTGCTGGTAATGAAATAATCTTCCTGCAAGTCTTCTGTAACAACTAAGGACCAGCAGCAGCCTGTAGACAGCTACTGTGGCAGAACCATGCAGGCTGAGACGAGTCTACTGATGGGATCCATGTGCTCTAACTTCCTCTGATCTTCTGGCATTGACTCACAGGCCGACATTTGAATGTTTGACACGGCACAATGTCAAAAACAAGGAGCACAGAGCTCTCTGCATGCAAATTCTGGACCTATAAAACAAAAGAAGGGAAGATCTGGGGGAGTTGGCTCGCTATAATTACAACCTTTATGGAAATGTTGATTTTCTTTACCAGCAGGACTGGGCACATGCCCACAGCGCCAAAACTCCTACCAAATTGTTTACTGGCCCTGATATTACTGTACTTGCCTGTCCAGCAGACTGAGCTGAAACCTTAAAGAGAACATCGACACTCATAAGATGGAGGCACAGCGCTGTGACAATAAAAAGTAAAATGTATAGACTCAGAGACACCTTATCATGATGTAGCTCTGGTTGTGTAAGTGTAAAACTAAGCATTAAAATGATCCCCTTTCTGACACTGTTTTACACCAGTGCTGCTTTAGTCTTTCACTAATCTTACAGGTAATATTACAGTTTGACAATACTGAAAAAATGAGCAAACTGTACAATAAAAAATATTGTTAGTCTCATTTTCCAAAGACAAGTGTTACATTTATTTAAGGCCCATCATGGTTTCTAAGTTGAATTTAAAGTTTTAGTTAGAATCAGGCTCCCGGTACATACTTTAAAGTAAGAGGTGCAAAAAAAATATCCTGAAGTGGAGAAGAAAATATAAAATGGATTCAATAAAGCCCAGTATTTAAAGCTATAGTTCGTAAGATCTACATGTCTGTAAATATCCGTTTCACACAACTCACTACAAGAGGAGATAATACAACGCAGATTGAGCTGTTTGGCTCCTCTAACATCTTGTTATTTTTCAGTATTTGTTCTTTTTGTATTTGGTGTCAGGGGTGACATTCCTGTGTTGGCACAAAGGAAATGTTGCGTTGAACTCGGTTTTACCTGACAACGAGAAGGGAGGGGGGAGGAGAGTGCTGCTAGTAGCAACATGGTGGAGAACTAGAAGAAGCGACCAAGAGGTTCAGAAGTGGATCCTACTCAAAAAGAAAAAGGCTTCCTGTTCAGCAGAAGGTCTGTTGGCGAAGAAGGAGAGTGACCGACGGAGAAGACTAATGCGGATTTGCATCGGCGTCGCTTTTCCTCGATGGAGAGCCCTGAAGGAGTAGATTGGACTGAGGTCCGACACTCATGTTGCCTTGATCCTGCTGGATAAGTAAGTGACTGTTCATTACGAGCAGGATGTGTTGCTGTTACATGTACTGGAACGAGTACTTTATTTTTTTCTTGGAAATGGTGCTATGAATGTCATGTATTGTTAGCAGCCTGGTGTTTGCCACATTGTGTGACGTTAGCCTAGCCAGCAGTAAGTTCCAAGGTGTTGAGCCCGTGTGTAGCTATGTGTAACTTACTGTGGAGAGTCTGTGTGCTGTGACGAGTAACTTAAGTAACCTACATGTTGTGTAGACAGTTACAGTATGGGTACCATGACGAGTAGTATGCAATGAGTCATGAGTGTTACTCCATGTACAGGTTACACCGGGCCATAGGCCAAAGTCATATTGAAGTGCCGGCCTTATCTTCCTTATCCTCCTCTAGGAGGTGAAAGAAGTTACAAAAGATAGCTTTTAACCTCTGTCATCACTCCGATCATGACATCTGACTTCCGTAATAAAGCTGCGGGGACATCGTTCACCAAAATAGTCAAATCAAGTCCACCTGTATTAAAACAACATACTTAAAAACAACAGACACAACCAAAGTGCTTTGCAATATAAAAATACAAGAAAACAACAAAGAGGACAGAAATATGACACTGCTTTTGAGCTCAGGGAGGAACTACAAACACTAACTGTATTTAACTGAACAGCAAAGCAAGATCAATTTCTTGATCACGTCTTGCCTGATTGGTTGCAGTCAGTTTTCAAAAGCCGATGTCAGAGGTTTAGAAACGGAGATGAGCTCTGGTCTTTATATTTAATGAGAACAACAGAGAGCAAGGTGATCTCCTCTGTGCCCCAGAGAGCTCCATGCTCATTTTTCCAGGCCACAGGCCCATTAACATAAGGAAGCTGACACCGTAGCTTTAGGCTACGTATAATCCTCTAATGACCACTCTGCTGTTCCTCTGAATCAAGGGTATGAGTTTGGTTTGTGGTCAAAGACAGTCCTGACGGATCAGACTTTGTCTGTCGGACGTTCAAGTTTTCTGTTCGTTTTGAGGTAGACAGAAAAAATGATTTATCTCTGATGTCTTCTGAGAGTCCACATCTCATCTCGTCTCGCCTCACATGTCTTTTCGTTGCTCTCTTTTCTCCTCCTCTTCTCTCCTCCTCGTGCACTTTTATTAAAAACCCATTTACAACATAAATCAGAGTAATCCAGCAGTGGTTATGGAATAATTACAGAGAGGCTGCAGCATCTTCCAGCTGGAGCTTCAGAGCTTATTAAAAGCTGCAACTTGAGATATGTTTGTCAATTTATTATTTAACCCTCTTTGTTATGATGTACTATTCATGAACATGTGTGGTTTTAGACATACAAATATGCCCCTGAAGATTTAGATTGCCTTTCCACTGAATTTTTTTCTATGATTTTACAGCATAGTTTATATTTCTACCTCAAAAATGTTCTGTAAATAAGCAGAGCAAGCCTAAAGAAAGCTATTTAATATGTGCTGAAGAAGTATGTGAACATTTTAAGTCCTACAATCAGGAAATTACTCATTTTTGACTCAGTATTTCATAAATGGACTCTTGCACATAATTTAAAAGGTTTAGCAGCGCTGTCAAACATCCTGATAGAAATTCAGCATTCCTGCAACACAACAGCTCGCATGCCCATTACAAGAGGCCTCGACCCCGCTCTGCATCAACATATTTTAGCCCTGATAAAGACTTCTGCCGTCAATCAAGCAACACATTATTGAGAAATCTTTGTTTGATTTCATGCAAATAATGGATGGGGAGGGACGGAGAGGATCAAAAATTAATGGGGGACTTTGGGAAGCACGATAAATTATTGAGCACCGGTCTGATTAATTCTTAATAGCCATTGTCAAAAAATCACCGTCTTCTAGTGCCGTTAATTCTCATCAAACCTACTTTAGAGGAGCGTTTCTGCCTCGCCCTCTGCATACAGTGCGGGAGCTCTTCCTCCCTCGTTCTCCTCCTCCCCCCTGCAGACGCCTGCAGAGGGGGGATGCAACTTGTTTCCTTCGACTCCTCTCACATTTTTGCAACACTGATGGTATGAAAAGAAATTCCTGAAGTGTTCTTCCTATTTTTTTTTGACTGGTAAATTTTAGTCATTTTTGATTTTTTTCGAATAAAAACAATAAAGCTTTGATTGATTTTCTTTTTTAAACATCTGCTTGGTTGTTTTTATTACCTCTTGACTGTAATGGGAATTATTTTTTGCTGAAGACTTCAAAGAAATTTTAAATAGATGAAGCATGAAGCGTAAACTCTCACCCTGATAGATAATTGTCTTTACTTTGAAAAGACTCACGCTCACAGGATATGTTCTGCAGAAAACAAAGGCACAGATTTTTAGGTGGATTCTGCTAAATTTGATCTTATTAAGAATATTTTCTACCCCCTCAAAAAAGTCATAAATCTTTGTAAAGGCTGTTTCATTTTGTCTAGGAAGAAGAAAAGAGGCTCACAAATGAAAGCCAATCCTCTCCGTGTGAGTGTTTGTAAAATATAAAACCCGACAGCAGCAGAAACCCACAGAAGAAGAGTGATCAGGCGTTTAAATGTGTAAGTATTAAAAGTATTTAAAAAGTAATGCTGCTCAGACGGTGTATGCTGAAAAACAGCTGAAACGCCTGCTCCCTGCACGCCCAACAAGAATCAAAATACAGCTTCTTATTTTGAATATAAATTTAAAAACATGTTTCCATGAATTATAGATAACAGATATCAATATGTTAATGAATACACACATATGGTTAAGCCCAATGATTATGGGTTTGCACCAGTAGGGGGAAGAGTGTGCAAGGAAACTGATCTCAGTGTTATGAAAGCAACAATCTTTGAGAGGACGGAGCCTCTCGCTTCATGTATTACAGGGAAAGTTATGTGTTCCTGCTCACATGCACTGACATTTACCACTGAGGGCTGCGTTAGCACAGCACAGTGAGGGGAAGAGCTCCAAAAGACCCTCAAAATATGAAATTTATCTGACAAAGGAATCTTAAAGTGTAAAATAAGAAAGACTTTATATTGTGCTTTGGCTTCAATGTAATGGAAAATTTATCAATGAAATGAACAGTGAGCTCTGAGTTTGAGGACCAGCTGAAGGGTCCCTCAGATGTGCCCCTTGATTCCTACTTTTGTGTGATTATCAAGGAGCAGCTAAACCAAGAGGGGGAAAAAAAAAAAAAAAAACTCAGAGTAACAAAGATTAAAAAATATTTCAAGCTCAAAATTCCTGAATGCATAAACCACCTTTGCAAATCACTTCAGGGGTGAATTTCTTCACATGTTCACAAATGCAAAGAATCTTTTTGGGCATCATGGTGCAGAAAAAAAAAAAACAAAAAAAAAAAACACACTTCTGGAAGATTTCAATGTAAAATTACCTTTATGAAATCTGACTCCAAATATCATCCTTGGTCTGGTTTCTCGCTCTGTCTGGATTACCTGAGAAAAGAGCTAATAATCTTTTTTTTGTTTGTAGTTTATCATCAGATAACTTTTGCAGGAGTAATTAAACAAACATGTTCAGCAACATGCAGGTACCTGTAATGCACGGGTAAAAAAAACAGTAAAACTGTGTATGAAATAAATCCTTATGGGTGTGAAAGCATTTAACTGTGTAACTAAAATTGGTTATATCTAAACAAGATAAATCATGCTGACATTGGTTGAATAAGATAATCACAAGAATTTGCTGGTAAATTGAGGTTAAGTTCAGGATTTTACAGTCGATGAGTAAATGTATCAGCACATGTGCATGAAGATTTTTGGTGTCTGCTGATGATATTCATTGTTTTTGTTTCCTTTTCTCTGATTTCTTTGACCACTTTCTGACATACATTTTATGAATTTGAAATTTAAAAAAAACATTTAAAAATATAAATGCTGTCTATGTTGCCTCCAACATAAACACTTGATTATGACGTGTCTCTTTAATAGCGAGCCACTTTGTCTTCTTGCTGCTGGAAAATCACAACACCACCACATTTTTAAACAGGAGAAAGCCTTCATACAACTTTTGTTCTTTTTCTTTCTTTATTTTGAAGCTATTTCCGACCTCTCAGGGTCTTCAGATGCCTTCAAAAAACTCCCATCGGCGCTCCTTCTGGTGGAGCGTTAGCAGACCAGTCAATCCAGGTCATGAGAGATCATACAGTAAATTTAATGGCATTAACTTCATCCAAAAATACAGAAACCGTTAAGAATTCACATTAAGAGCAACGGTAGGCCCCATGCACAGAGAGTGTGGTCCTAGTGGTTGCTGGCTAAACTACAACCCTTGACAATTAACCAGTGGAGAACCCTTATGAGATTTCTCCTCACTGTCAACAAAGGCAATAAACGGCTTTTGTTGACAGTGACAGTAAAAACAAAGTTGATTTCAATATTGATGTTGAAGAGTTTCAAATTTTAAAATACGTAATTTTTTAAATGCTGTTCAATAAATTTAAGATTAAAATTTAGCAAGTTACTCTTGAACAACATTTGAAAAAACCTAGCCTGTTTTTTGAATGAACAGATTCTATCTACAATAAGTATAAGTGTTTCTGAATCAGAGGAAATTGTGAAAAAGTTTTTTTCATACTAAGTAAAAATAGTGAAGTTACCAAAAAGTCAATATTCTGATATTTTTAAGTATGTTTTGTTGTTGTTTTGAGCTGTAAGCCATTGTCCAGACATCGTAGTGAATATGTGCTGCCTCTTCAATCTATTTTAATTTTTACTTTTTCACCATATTAAACACATTTTTCAGATGCATCTGTGCATCATGTGTGATCAAATCAATCAAATGAAAATCCTACATTTCTATAAAAGTTCTGTGGTGCAGACAGTTGCACACTTGTCTTGTTCTCAGTGTTTATAATTTTGTCTGTTTTAGTGTGTATTTCAAATAAAGTTTCACTCATTCTGGCTGTAATTTATGACAGTGATTTAAGTCAAAAGTTTTACAGAGATCTTTGGCCTGTGCTCAGTATCAGCGCTGGAGATAAAGTCGCTCTGAGGACATAAATCTGCAGAGCGCTGCTGATCCTGTCGAGGCCGGCTGTAAAACATCCTCACATCTTTAATGCTCGTGCGTTTGCTTTGTTGGACAGATTTGTAGCATGTGTGGGCCTGACACTGACTGTTGACTGGCACGACGATCTTCTGAATATTCAGCAGCTCTTATGAATATCAGAGCTTCTTGATTGCATTGTGATTATTCACAAACCTCTTCCTCTCTCTCCTTTCTCTCGCTCCATCTGCCCTCTGTACTCCATTACTAGTCTGAACACAGCCCTGGCGCTGTAGCATCGCCAGCCCGATCTGACACCATTCCTTTTACGGGTTCAACAGCTTGCTTGTCGTACAGCAAAGTAATTAGTACTGCACGCTCATATTAATTAACAAAGAGCGTTATCACTTTATTAATCCATATTAGAGAGGTGGAGGAGAAAGGGAGGGTGCAGCAGTGTTGGTGCGAGGAGTGCTCTCAGTGGGAGTCTTTGCTTTTGCTTCTTTGTAGTCCTATTGTCTGTGACCCGTGTTCCTTAAAAACATCTCTGCAGCAGCATGCAGACTGCCTTCTTCAACTAAAGCTTTAAAATGCAAATAATATCAGAGGGGTAAACAAACAGGGTGTCAGGATTGGGGAAAACAGGTGCCACGGTGTGAAAGCACGCTAAACGATGTGATAGTCGGAAATTAATTACTACCACCGCGCTAATTGGAAGCAATAATTTGTGTGATTAGCAGGACGCTTAAGCAGCAAGACACATCCAACGCCTGTATGCACAGCAGAGAGAGGACCTATCCTGTGTCTCTTTGCAATCGCACACACACAGACACACACACAAACATGTCTACTCAAGCTGTGTTAACATGGAGCGTATTATCACAGTCAAAACACAATGAAAAGTTCTCAATGAAAATAAACAGGTCCAAACTAATGGAGGTAATGACTTTTAATTTCATTACAGACAGCTGGCAAGACATCTTCAAGCCCTTCTTTTTACTCTTTTTTTTTTTTTTTGCATTTACTATAATCAATTAGCTTTTTTTGCTTTTTAAGTTACAATACAAGCTTTTATGTAGGCCTAAACATTTCAGTCTAATATATTATATGTACAAAATGTCCAGTTTGCATCAACCATAACCCATACAGGCGAGAGAACATGTGAACCAAATGTGATGAATCAGGTCCAAAAGGCTGCGGCTCACGTGAACTGAAGTTTTCCAAATATGCCCAACTTTGAAGCTCACATGTGCAGAATCCAGGCATCAGATATAGCCAACACACCAGTCAGCAAATTTATGACAACCAGGTAAAAAAAAACAAAAAAAACAAAAAAAAAAAAAAACAGTAGGACAGAACTATTTTGCACAGCACAGCAGATTAGACTACAAATAGCAGAGGCATTACTGAAGAGGTCTGTATAGAGGTGATATTTTAATCCACAAAAATGAGTCTGTGCAGCTCACAACAACAGAGCTAAATATATTTTGGTATTAATGTGAACATTCAGCCGAATTATGATGTTAACCTGCTCAGTATCAGCCAATAAAAGACAATAGTTATTGTTGCTTTATGACAATAATTCCAAACAAAGCTTGGCGCTTAAGGGTTAATCTCCTGGTGTAGTTTGTATCAACTAGTCATCATGTGCCTCTGTCATAGATCACTACTTTAAGTATTGCGACAAAAGATGTAACTGCTCAGTTACAAACTGATTCTTGCTTTAATTTAATGTTATCATTTAAACTTCTTCAATCCACTTAAAAGCATTTAACCTTAACTTCATGATAAAAGAATTTTAAAAGCTGCGCTCATACATTGAATGTTTGTCATCTGGGGGATATGTCTGCTGTACTCCTACATCTCACCTCCTTGAAAGTAAAAGGCCATACAGTAAATTCCCAAAGAATGTGGATGGTGGATGTTTTCATCAGTGTTGTGCAGGTTTGTATCAAAACATAAATCACATAAATAACTGCTCACACATAAGGAGTGTGAGCAGTTGTTTACTGTCTCCAGAATGAGTTATGATCACATTTATTAGTTTCAAATTTAGCCGTGCAAAGTGCAAACATTGTACAAATATATCTCCAATCATATCCTGTGACATCACATCAAATGCAGGACCCTGAGCTGATCTGACCACCTGAGCACACCCGGTATCTACACCTGAATAAGAGAGGGGTTAAACATCTGGCTCTGATTGAATCTTCAGCCGCATGTAAACACCACATGGGATTAACCCACATCATGTAAACACCTGAACCAAAACCTCCAGACAGAATGAAGGTACAGTGTCTGTGCAAAGTGTCCAGAGTCGCACATGGATCTGTAAAACTTTGGTGAAGAAATACTCATTGTTGCACAAATTCAGAGAACATTTTCCAAGTTTCTGCAGGCGCACTCCTCCATGTCCTCCTTTCCAAACAGAGGAGATCTGCCTGTGATGAGGCATATCCGAAAGGTTTCATTAAAAAACGCTGATGTGGCAGCAGCTAATTAACAAAGCTTTGTAGGTGGAGGGCTCTCCCCCTCTCTCTTACCTCTCTCCCCCTCTCTCTCTTTTAATATTAGAGGGTATACAGAGCTCAAAGCCTGGAAAAGATCTTTACACACGCAGCACTTCTAAATGTAGACTACAATCAAAACAAAGTCCCAGCATTAAATCCCCTCTCATTATTTCCCTTTAATTCCTATTGGCCATAATGATCAAAGTGCATAATTAATTTCTGCCAATTCAGGATATAATCTGGTTCTGCCTCTTTCTTTGGTGAAGCATACTTCTCTGATGTTTCTGGTTCAGTTGGAAGCGGCTCGCCTTGTCTTACAGCAGCTCTGGATTACAGATCCAGGGATATGGCCGCGGTCTAACCGCCACCACATGTTTTCTGGAGTTTCCTGTTATTTAAATCCTCTCTTTGATGACAGCTCGATTGGTATTATGTCCCAATAAAGCATCTAAACTGAAATTGTGTAGCATTTCCCCCTGTAGCCATATAATTGTCCTGACTTTATTACAGCCCCGTTGGACTTTGCTGTAACAATAACAGAACATATTGTAATGTTTCATGGTGCTGCAGATACACTGAGGGCTCATACGCTTTAGCCAGCTGCCATTACACTCTTTCACTGACCAGCTTCACTGTTCTCATCACATTAGGCTGTAATGCTGTGATATTAAAGCACATACCTGATATTGGTATTGAACAGTGCTGTTATATGGACACATTTCAAAGACATGTTGTTGTAAAGGACAGGATTATAAGACGGTTATAAAAAAAACAGCTGTTTGAACTGGAGTTGCATCTGGAAGGGAGTTTGGTGTTACAACGTCCACACAAACTCTTTAAATGTTTATGTTTATAATACAAGTGCTCTGCAGGCGCCATAACTGTAAGCTTATATGAACCACTCGCAGAACTAATAAATGCTCAATGCATTTTCTCATGCACATGAATCAGTTTCAAGTGGAGACCACGTTGGATGAGTCAAACAGGAAGACCCCCTGTAGTAGACTGGGTTGGAGTCCCATGTGAGAAATGTGCATCTAAGACTAACACCTCTCCAGAGTCAGAAGCCAATCTTTAGTCGTCTTTGACATATGGAGGAGCAGCTGAAGACCTAAGGGCTCCTTCAGGCTCATAAGTTAGAACCACGACTGATAGTAAGTTGGAGCGAGACCTTTTAGAGCTTTATTAACCAGTATAAATAAACTTGAAATCAAACGGTACTGCAACCAATGCAGAAACTTTAAAATGGCTGTAATGTGGGCTCTCTTTCAGGTCTTTGTCAACATTCTTGCAGATGAGTTTGGCAGTATTTACATCTTTACATCTGCAGTGACTGTTGCTCTCTGACAATGTCTTTTGGTGAGGAAATGTTTTTTTTTTTTTCTCGCTCTCTTTTGTTATGTCTCAAACAGATTCTTAAACCTGCGGACATGGTTGTAAGAAAGTGCTTTGACTTTTGCATTTGGTTGCTCTCTCTGAGCTCCAGGACCAATGACTAAAACCTGAGGTTTGTCCAGGTTAGGCTGCAAAAGGTTCTCTGCCATCCATGACATAATAATACATCAGATTTGATAGAGCACTTTATCAGAGACCCTCAAAGCGCTTTACATCGGATACATCATTTATTCGCTCACACAGTCACACCTTGGTGGTGGTAAACTACCTTCTTAGTCACAGCTGACCTGGGGCAGACTGACGGAAACATGGCTGCCAGTTTGCGCCTACAGCCTCTCCGACCACAGTTACACAACACTCACAATCATTAACCAGTGGAGGACACACACTGGGAGCAAGGTGGGTAAAGCATCTTGCCGAAGGACACAACGGACAGATTAGGGATAGAGGGAACTGAACCGCAAACCTTCCAGTTATAGGACTACCACTCTACCTCCTAATCTACTGCCATTAGAAAACACAGCAGCTGCAGCTCAGAGGTGGTGGATCGATGGAAGTGTTTGTGGGGGTCCCACTGCTCCTGTTGATAGAATCAGCTGTGTAGGCATGTATGAATGGATTTAGTATCTTGCTCATGGTCTCTTATGATAGTAGACTCAACCATCATTTCGTGAATGTAGTAGAATTTGGTAAATCGGGTGAGAAAAGTGGCAGAAATTGCTGCAGCTCTTGAAACCCCTGGCTGTAAAAATGTAGCTTTAAGTCCATGTTTCCTCCTCCAATCTACTTAGCATGAATTTCTTCATCCCTTCGTTGGATTGGACCAGTTTCTTATGATTGTTGGTCACCATGAAGCACTTCTGTTCTGATCAGGCTCTTGCAACTTGCTGTTATCAGCCAGTCTTGACATTGTCCTGGCAAGTTTTCTGAGCACATGCTGCAAATCCATGTTTGATTGTGTAAATAAAGCACCTGCTTATTACCTTGTTTCAATAAAGTCATCTCTTTTAACACCCGATGATTGAAACATCACATTTCCTGCTGACAGCTATCTCCACGGACACATAAGATGTGGAAGAAGTGCAGTCGCTCCCATGTTAAGTGTTGTCACCCCCTGGTTCTCAGCGATTTGATTGATTTTCTGGTCATATTTCTTTTACACATGTTCCCTGATGAAAGGTTGAGCAAGCGGCAGATGTTTTAAAACAGGGATATCACAGAGCTGTTATCTGATTCCTTCTGATGAATTAGAGCCAGATCCCTCCAGCGCTCAAAGGGAGTCCACTCTGCATGAATTATTACCAAATATAATTTCAGCTATTAGTCCTCTTTCCTGAACATCTGAACATGGAAAATGTGGAATTAGAAATTAATACTGCTGAATATCATGGCAGCATTTTCTGAGACGGGGGGATTCATTTTCATGCTCTCCTCCCTCTCTTTTTTTGTATTCAGACAGAGTTTCTGACACATTTATGTGTTAAGTTGGGCTCAAGCAGTCCTATTACCATACAGATTATCCATTGTGAGCTTTAGTAGCTGCAGAGAAGAATTAGCATTCAGTAGAGAGAAAGGAAACACAGAAGCAAAGAAGAAAAAATGAAATCAGAAAGGGATTATGTGTATCCTGCTTCCCTCCTGTTTGTGTCTCTTATCTTGACCGGGGTCAATGTTTTATCCAAATTGATTTCTCCGAGCTAAATGTCCATGTTCCCCCCCTGCAGGGTGGTTTTGTTAGCGGATTTGTGTACTGTTTAACAGCTTCCTCCTTATCTTCAAAATAGCATACAGTACATTATGATTAATATAACAATCAGAAAGATGGGCCGAGGCCTCCCTGTCTGCTCTTCTGGTCTGAACTTTTACTCCACTCTATACTCTCAAGTAACAACAAAGTCTCTGTACTGCTAACCACACTTTGTCCTGGTGCAACAAGTCAGAGGAAACTCATCAGGATGTGCAGGAAGTTCCAACTAGCTTAAAATGTTTGATGAATCATCTGACTCTGCTTCAGATCAGTAGGGGCCTGTCTGTCTGTTATGTACTGTTCACACCAGATACAAATTATATCATTCACTCCCTTAATTCATGCATATTTCAACATCTTAATATTGTGTTTTTACTTGCTTAGTTTGTGAAAAGAACTTGTGTCCTACAATGTCAAAACATTTACATACACGAGGTCCACTAGCACAAATTATTTATTTGCATCTGGTGTGAACCAAGGTTATTGTCGTTATTTAAAACTAACAAAATGATAAAAACTAGAATTGAAAAAAAAAAAAAGAAAAAACTACAATTAAAAGAAAAAAGATAACTAACTGATACAGTATTTTTTTTTTACAAAACTAACTAAAAGGTATTATACATATTAAAATAAAAAATCCCCCAGTTTTCATTTTTGTCAATTTAGGATTGATATGAAATTGATTTATTTTGCTGAACAATTTTACATAAGCTAGCAGCACCGAACAGCACATCACAGCTTATCACTTGTTTACAGATGGTTTCTCATCACCATTCTACCTGGCAAAATGGCGAAAAAACTCGGGAGGAAGCGACAGAGTCCTGTATGAAATTTCTTTAAATATGACAGAAAGACAAAAGCAAGTGCCTTAAAAACTGGTGATAAAGTATGTGGAATGCTTCTCAAGGGGAAAAAACTCACAAATCTGAAAGTCCATTTGAGAAGCTTACACAAGAACACATATCATGAGCACCTCGACAGAGTGGCCTCCGAGTAGCTCCCCTGAAAAATAAGCAACATCTCGGCCAGGAGATAGCACCGAGACAGAGGAGACAACTACAATAGACTGTTTTCACCTACAACCAAAGAGCTGCTGGTTAGTATTTAACACAGGAACACCACAAGTGGGAAGATGCACTCATAAATATGTTTATTGAGACTAGTATGTCTACAAGACTGTGTGAGTTGATCGCCTTCAAAAAGTTTAGCTTTTCACTTGAGCCAAAACTCAAATCACCCGGTGCTGCACAGTGAATAACCTCATGGCCAAGTGCAATCATCTAGAAAAAAAAAAAAAAACTAACAAAAACAAACAAACCCGCTCTAAAAACTACTTAAAACTAACCGAATAGACAAAAAAAGGGCAAACAAAATAAAACTATAAGAAACAAATCCAAAACTATGATAACCTTGGTGTGAACACAACATCAACCTCACTTGCTCTTGTATTTTAGTGTTGGTCAATGTAACTAAATATATAGCCTAATATGCTTTGAAAAAGTATTCATACCCCTTGAACTTTTTTACAAGTATTTTATTGAGATTTTTTGTCATAGACCAACACAAAGTAACACATAATTGTGAAGTGGAACGAAAATGATACATGGTTTTCAAAAATGTAAACAAATAAAAATCTGAAAAGTGTGGTGTGCATTTGTATTCAGCCCCCTGTGTCGATACTTTGTAGAGCCACCTTTTGCTGCAATTACAGCTGCAAATCTTTTGGGGTATATCTCTACAAGCTTTGCACATCTAGAAACTGAAATTTTTGCCCATTCTTCTTTGCAAAATAGCTCAAGCTCAGCCAGATTGGATGAAGAGCGTCTGTGAACAGCAATTTTCAAGTCTTGCCACAGATGCTCAATGGGATTTAGGTCTGGACTTTGACTTGGCCGTTCTAACACATGAATATTCTTTGATCTAAACTATTCCATTGTAGCTCTGGCTGTATGTTTAGGGTCATTGTCTTGCTGGAAGGTGAATCTCTTTCCCACTCTCAAGTCTTTCCTCAAGTCTTTTGCAGCCTCCAACAGGTTTTCTTCCAGGATTGCTCTGTATTTAGCTCCATCCATCCTCCCATCAACTCTGACCAGCTTCCCTGTCCCTGCTGAAGAAAAGCATCCCCACAGCATGAGGCTGCCACCACCATGTTTCACAGTGGGGATGGTGTGTTCAGGGTGATGAGCAGTGTTACTTTTCCGCCACACATAGCACTCTCACCATTGCCTTCCTTGCTCGGTCTGTCAGTTTAGGTGGACGGCCATGTCTTGGTAGGTTAGCAGTTGTGGCATACTTCTTCCATTTCTGGATGATGGATTGAACAGCGCTCCTTGAGATGTTCAAAGCTTTGGATATTTTTTCATAACCTAACCCTGCTTAAACTCCTCCACAACTTTTTCCCTGACCTGTCTGGTGAGTTCCTTGGTCTTCATGATGCTCTTTATTCACTAGTGTTCTCTAACAAAGCACTGAGGCCTTCACACAACAGTTGTATTTATGCTGATACTAAATTACAAACAGGTGGACTCTATTAACTAATTAGCTGACTTCTGAAGGCAATTGATTGCACTGCGTTTGATTTAGGGGTATCAGAGTACAGGGGGCTGAATACAAATGCACACCACACTTCTCAGATTTTTATTTGTTTACATTAAAAAAAAAAAAAAAAAAAAAAAAACATGTTTCATTTTCATTCCACTTCACAATTATGTGCTACTTTGTGTTGGTCTATGACAAAAAATCTCAATAAGATAATTTTAAGTTTGTGGTTGTAGGGTGACAAAATGTGGAAAAGTTCAAGAGGTTTGAATACTTTTTCAAGGCAATATATATATATATATATATATATATATATATATATATATATATATATATATATATTTATTTATTTTTTTTTTTTTTTCTGGTCTGAAAAAGGTAACCATCATTTCAGGCTCACACAGAATACACCAAAGGAAAAAAAAACAATAAAGAAAACAAACAAACAAAGAAAAACAAACAAACAAACAAAAAACTGAGAATTTCCCAGTTTGGGATTAATAAAGTCTGTCTGTCTGTCTGTCTGTCTGTCTGTCTATCTATCTATCTATCTATCTATCTATCTATCTATCTATCTATCTATCTATCTATCTATCTAAACAAACAACAACTACAACAACAACAAAAAAACCTGCACAACTAAGTTTCCTAATTTGCCATTAATAGACAAAGTCATCAAACACAGAGCTGTGGTACCGACTGATCCAAACACAAACTGCACCTTGTTGGTCCCCTTCTTCTCCTCGCTACTGGTCAAGTCAAATTTTATTCATGTAGCATATTTCCTTATATCACTGAGGCACTGAATGAGGGGCTGAAGAGGATTTGAATTAAATGGCGATCATGATATGTACAGTTGTTAATCATCTATGTGAACCTGTAAATAAATTTTGTGTGAAAAATGGAGGCATGTCCAGCCTAAACAGAAGTGGTCCAAGAATTGATCCTTGGGAAACCCTGCATGCAACATCGAGTTAACTTAAGATATAGGGCTCTATTCTCGTTCGCGCCAGTGAGGCGGCGGAGGGCGGCGAGCCCCGCGCAGTTGTATTTTCGTCTGGCGGAGCCCGGTGTAAGGCGAGTTTGGTATTTTCGTGGACTGAGTCGCACGGAGGCGAGCCGAGATCCGCCAAGCTGGGCGTGGTGGCGTGGCAGGGGGAGGTGTTGACAGAATCAGCTGGCGCAGTGACATTTTCGTGCTCGCCACCGGCGTGTAACATGCGCTGAAAGCTCGCCGATTCAAACCTGGTCAGCTTTCAGCGCAAGGCGGAACGCAGCTGGTCTAGTAGTATTTTGGTAGACCAGCGGCGTATCGACATACGTCACCGATGCCTCACCGGCAGGTTTCCACAGTGTCAGGCACATTTCAGTGCAATAAATAATCATCATCAACTATTAATCTGAGTCAGCACATACATTTAGATCTATATCGATATATTCTGATCTATATCTGATCTGATGAGCGCGTTTGGCACGCGTTTGGCACGCGTTTGGGCACACAACCTGACCGAATCAATACAGCTGAAACTGCATCAAATTAAATTAAATATCTAGTAAATAAACACACATGATGAAGTTAACAAGATATGTAATGTGTCTCCCTCCTTTTCTTTCTTCCTCTTATTTCTCGCACAGCTCAACCTGGACACGTCTCCGTGTCCTCTGTCCGTCTTGCTGCAGCTGCTGCGGCTGAACAGATGATTTGTTTCAGTGCTCAGATGCGTGATCTACTTTAAGCCGACATACGGATATTATAATATTCAGTTTTGTGGGCCAAATTTATTTTATATGCCAACATCTATGAAAGAAAGAGCCAGGCCACAGAGCGCGATGCGTCATTTACGCACAGATGGTTCCGATTTTAATGCCATTTTTGGAGTTTATGTTGTGATCTGTGCGCTAAACCCACCTTTGTCACGTGAGGTTTGAATATATGCAACTTTATGTGAGTGTCTTTATTTGTGGAAAAGGGTGTTTGTCTTACCAGTGGGTCCAACATTACGCACACCAAATCCATCTGTGCTCAGATGAGAGAGTGTGGAGGACACTTGTTGAGCAGCTGCCCTCTGTCGCCATCGTGTGGCATAACTGTCTTCAGACATCTCTTGATCTCTTTGACTACTTCATGAAAATAGTAATACGCCTCGCCGGTGGCGGATTTAAAGGCAAGGAGAGGAGCTTATGTGATTGGTGAAAACAGGTCTCGGCTGTGTTAAACCGACTCCACGCCCTCTCTCCTCCCCGTCTATGACTTATGCTGCCGGGAGGAGCTGAGTTAGGGAGGGGGGATACTTACGCCGGGCTGCGCGGCTCACCAAAATACCAAAATGTGCTTGGGAACGCCTTGTCAGCGCGGCGGATCTGATTGACGCTGCGCTTGCGGCACGTCTTCGGCGAGGCACCAAAATAGAGCCCATAGTCTTTGATGGACAGACTGAGCATCACTACACCCACACAAACACTGCTGTGAGAGTGTCAACATCTGTTACACTGAATTTCATTGACTGTGGTACAGCTCCATAGACACAACTAATTGTGATCAGAGGGCAAACTTAAGGCTTCAAAATGATAATCCAGGAAACAAGCTGTCCATTATTTTTACCTGTGAATTCAGACAGCGTGACAGAAACATGTAAACCTGCAAAACCTTTGACCAAACTGAAGGATATCTGTTACCCAATCTGTACATCAAACAGCTCTTTCCGTATGCTACATCCCAACTTCACTCCTTCCCTCCCTGTTTTAAATCTCACCTTTCTTGGACACCTCCTGAATTGTTCTCTCTCGTCCCAGTCCTCCTTCCCTCTCTCCTCCTCCTCCTCTCTTTCTGTCTGACCTAACAGCGAAGGAGTCATGAGGGAGGATCCCCTCTGAAAGTTCAGCCAAATGTTAGCATCAGGAGGAGGGATGTTCCTGAAGGGGATCACTCACTCTCTCACTCTTTGTCAAACACCTCTTTCTCCCCCTGGCCTCCCCTCTCCCTCTCCCCCTCCCCTCCTCCTCTTCAGTTTATCATGTCTCCACTCCCCGCCGAAGCTCGCTTTCTGGCTTCTTGAGACTGGCGGCCAATAACTGCAGAGAAGTCTGATACCATCGGCTGCTGGAGGGAGCGGAGGCAGCTGAGAGGTTGTCTAGCAAACCCCAACACCTGTATTCTGTCATTCATATGATTGTTATCCCTCACCCCTCCATCCTTCCCCCCCTCTGCCTCGCTCTCCATCACTCACCTCGCTCTGATCTCCCTGCCTGTCTGTCAGAGGGGATCTGCCAAAATGTCTGCTGCCTGGAGAGGTGTGTGCTTGCTGTGTGTGAGTCAATGCTCAGTGCTGTGTGTGAGTGTGTATTCCTTTAGATTGAGTGAAAGAGGAGGCGATTTATAAGCTGAGAAAAAGGGCGCCTCTTCAAAAGTTTGGCAAGGTTTGAAAGAAACAGAGCCGCAGGTCTGGAGAGAGTATGTCACTGAGGCCTCTGTCATGTCTTTTTTCCTGTGTTCGTCTTCCTTTTGTTTTCCTGTAATGTCACAGGAGAGAAGTATCGAGGGAAGGGAAAGGAAGCTTTGAGATGGAGAAGGAGAAGGTGATGAAAATGTGGGGTGAGAAAGGCAAGGGATCTTTGAGGAGTTCCAGTTGTAATGTGGCCAAAAAGTCTCTCTCCTGTTACTCACACCTTCAAGTTCACATTACTGTGAGTGTTAGATGAAATACACGTACCTCCAGAATTTCAGGTTTGAGACAGACACCAGATCTACAGAGAGCTGATGGCTCTGCTTCACCACTGGCTCCTATATTTTTAATGTTTTTCAACAGCAGTCTTTACGAAAACTTCTGGTCAGCTTTCAAGTTCATTAAAAATGGTCAACCAGTTTTTCCAACTACCTGGCTGTGTTGAATACTTGAAATGAATTTGTTCTCAATAAGGTGAAGTAGAGCACGGTCCTGTCCTGCAATCTGTGCACCAGCTGCAGAGCTAGTGAGCGCATCTCAAAGCTGCTGATCTCTACAAATTAAAATCAAGCATAGTGTTAGTGCAGGCAGAGCGCATAGTCATATAGGATGTCACTGATGCATGCTCTGTTCTTTGTCTTGACTGATGCTCTGCCTGCAGTGGTAATGTATGTATGCACATTAGAGAGAGGGTGGGTGTGCCTCCCTTCCTCAGGCTTTGGCATCCCACTTCTACATGTGGAGTGACAGGGAGCCGTACCATAGTATATAACTTAATACATGAAAATTAACCTTTTCTTTAATTTATCTGCTCTTGACTTAAACATGTTTGTTCCTGCTGCAAGGAGGCCATGGAAAAGTTCTACAGCAGAACTGAGGGGTTTACTTTATAGGCACATAAATCATTTTTTAATCAATGAATTATTTTACTTCTCTTTTACTTTGCAGGTCTCCGGGTAATATGGCCTTTGGGGTTAGCAGGATCATGTCCATGTTTGGCTCATTCTCTGAAGATTGTAATCTGCTCACCATAAACAATCTTTTGCTCTTCATTCTCTTGGTTTTCTCTCCAGCAGATACTGACATTTATTCAACAGTCAACTTACGGGGCTTTCACACCTATGTCCTTTGGTCTGGACTTTCTGACTTTTATGTTTAATCTGAAACAAAATGATAGGTGTGGGACCTCCCAAGGACCTTGGTCTAATGAAAAGAGGTGGTCTCAGTCCGGACCAAACTGAACCATGGTCTGGTTCATGCCCAGTGTGAAAGCATTATTTTGAAAGGTTCGGACCTTTGTACCAAAGACAGGAAATGGAGGAGTAGAAGTATGCGGTTTATTATGTTTAATGGAGATGGTCAAACTACAGGAAATTTTATTATAATGTAGATAAAGTTATACCTCACCACTGACAGCGTATCTTTTCAAGAGTTTTACTTCACATACTTTTCTCCCGAGTTGCTGTTGCAATGACTCGCAGGATTGTATACTTTCTTTTCCTTTCCCGACAATGTCGATAAAGTTGTCGTCTTATAATCCAATTCTTGAGACTTCCTCGGACCAGCCTCATGTACAGTTCTTCAAGTTGTCGCTGTTGGAGGTAGAAAATAAAAATAGTATGATGGTGGAAATGATGATTTCATCCATGTTTACACCATTCAAGACCCGCGCTTTTCAACGTGTTGACATCAAACCCCTGCCAGCCTAATGATCAACCAATGTAAACTACAGAGACACACAAAGCACTTAGTTGATGACGATTTTATGAAGGTTATGTAGGACTTTTTTTTTTTTTTAAGGATATTTTACAATTATATTGCCCCATTGAATATTGTATTGAAAATTGCCCAATTTAGCCCATGCATACACCTCTATAGTGGTCTGTTTTATACCTTTGGTATCCACCCATGACCTCTTGTAAAACTATCTCTCTGTCCTTTACATGACCAGCTCTATTGGTCCAAGTCTTTCGCAGAGATTATGACATTTACTACAAACACTTAACTGAAACTAAGGCACTCAGGGCAGATTAAAAAAAAATAAAAAAAACAAAGGAAGAAAAGGGTATCCACATATCCTGACTTTTAGTCACTACAAAGTCTGGAAAAGTTTATGTCCCTCCTCTAAGGTATTCAAAGTAGCTCCTTTACTCTAGTGTGGACTCCCACAATATTAAGGCATGAGAAAAACTAGTTTGTAGTTATCACAGCCTGTTTTATCATTTTTCAGTGAAGTCTCCTCAGTGTTCTAAAAACATTGTAAATTTTATCCTTGACGCTTACAATGATGAACATTTTTCTAATTTAAGAATATCTAAAACAGGACGAGACTTAAAAAAAAAGAAGGGTTCTTTATGATGAATTTCCAGCATTTTTCTTCATGGTTTGTCCAGACCACCTGTACCCTCCGGCCACTTCTTTCTCCTCCATCTCCTGAACAATGACAAACCCTGGTTAGACACTACAAAGCATCACTCTGGCTTTGACAGAACAGATCGAAACAAACAGCCGAAAACAAGAAGCCTTGTTGGTGTTTGACAGCGAGCATAATAGCGCTGCTCGGGGATGTGGGCTCAGTGTCAGGGTGGAAAAATCTTTGGGACATGTGCTGGGGGTGTTGGATGGTGTTCGACATCAGTCACTGCTGTTTGGGGAGCGAGAGTGGGCGGCTGGAGTCATAGATATTAGACAGGCGAGTGTTATATATCTCTGGGGGATTGAGATCTAACGAGTGGAGCAGGGCTGTGTGTGTGTTTTTTAACAGAATAGATGAATACAGCTGGTGATTAAAGCTCCTTTAACTTTGGCAGTGAAGAAAAGGAAAAAAAAAAAAAAAACTACCTCCTCCTACTGTCCCTTTATCATCTTTTATGAGCCTCATCATCTCTGCACAAAGTGGAATCCTGGCATACAGAATGAAATGATCACTTAAAATTTAGGATAATGTTCGTCATGTTTGGAGACGTAGGAGAAAAATCAAGGGGGTTTATGTTTTTTTTTAGGGGGTTTTGAGATTTATGTAAAATATGTATGTGAAATTACACTCAATCCACGCATCAATTTTTAATTATTTTAGGCTCTATCTACTGTTGACTTAAATACGTGTCATAGGCTTCTCTTTAACAATTATAAACCTGGACAGTGTAAGGCAGCTGCTTTGCTAAATTGATGGTCAGGTTATGAAAGAGAAACAACCAACCAGGTCTGCAGAAAAAGCCCAAAGGGAGAAATTCATTTGAAGAAAATTCACAAAGTACGTTTGACTTATCTTGGGCTCAGGGTTAGATTCCCCTCCTTTCTTTCTCCTTCTCTTTACTCTATGATTTCCGTATTTCACCTACACACTTGCCGTAGACATGCTTCTGTCAACAACCCAGTTCTTACCTAGTGCTTATAAACTGGGACAAACAGTCCAGTTTTATCACCATATTGAGCTTTAACTGTAGATCAACTTAACTTGCATGTGAACATACTGACTGAAAACAACACAGAAACTAAAAACATAAGTTTGATTTAAAAAAGCAAGTGTGGCCTGACTGCAGATGGTACTTGTACAGTTTTTGTCTGGACCAGTGTTTTGTCCTCAGTGATGCAATGGCTAGCACCATTGCATCATGACCATAGACCGTATACTATGGACAACTTAGCCCTGCCTTCCGCCATTATACAAATTTGAAGCCGAATCGCTCTCAGTATTTCTGGAATTTTCTCCACTTTTCTCCACTTCCTGGAACCAACATTGTGCATTAGCGTTGTAGAGAGTCTCTACAAGAGTATATTTGTAAGTAATTTATATGTATACAGGACTGAACGAGAACAGCAAAAAGATCAAATGTTTGTATCTGACAAGTTTCGGATACCTTGTCACGTGGCCTTTATAGACAAACCATTTCATAAATTGATCATCAACAGGCCAAATTAACCTTTTTGTATAGCTAAAAAAACAATCAGAAAGTAAATGTTATCTTTACCTTGAGGAGAAAGAAACTCTAAGGCTGTCTTTTGATATACAGTCCATTTTTCAGTTTTGTGTCTGAGGCCAGCTCACTCGAGGCTCCAGCTGCTGTCCAGTCTTCCAGTTTCATAACCACTACCGCCCCCTACTGTAAACTACTTATTTAACCCACACTACCATAGGCTTGGTTTTAGCACAATATTAGTTTTTTAAAAAACGGTTACTGCAACAGCCCCACCCACCCAGTAAAGAGAGTTTGAAAAGATGTCGTTTGGGCGCCTCTACATTCAGACCGTCTAAATGAAGCCCAGTTTTCGACAAATTTTTTCGGCTAATTTACGGCCGTGACGGGCTTACGTGATTTAGCCTAAAAAAGACGTCTAAATGGCGTCGGGTGTTTGGAGGGCAGTTTTTGTGAGTCTTTGCCACCCCTTTTAGCAAAGCTGTGCCTCTTCCCTACCCTTTGTTGAACTTGTTTTTCACACATTTATGTTTTCATTCCTGTCTTTATAACAACACATAGCACACAATGTAAATATTTGCTGTAGAGATTGTTCAAAGGGGGTTACTTTATCATCCAGATTATCCACTCTGTGATGGGTCGCCCAGATTCTCTGTGTCTTTGCAAAGGTTACATGATCAGGCTGTCAAATAGAAATATGCAGATTCTGCACTTGTAAGTTTTTTACCTGAGTTTTCAGCTGACCTTAAACAAAACAGCATCAGAAGTGGAGCAGAAAAACGGTGATGAGTCATATTTCAGTTTCAATCACATGGAAATGTGAAAAACAATCTAGTGATATTTCTGTTTAAATGAATTCTGCAGCTGTTTGTTTTTACGCCTCAAAACCAGAGAAAAGCCTTTACAAGTATGAGAGAGAGAGAGAGAGAGAGAGAGAGAGAGAGAGAGAGGGTGTGTTAAATACAGCTGTGTGGAGTGGGTGTGTTTCTTCCAGGTTCTGCTACTATCCATAGCTCGTTGAGTGGATTTATGCGTCAGGCATGTTAACGCTGGGAAAGCATGCAGCTCTCCTGCAGCAAGAAACACACCCACACCCACCCACACACACACACACACACACACACACACACACACACACACACACACACACACCTAAACAGGCCTCTGCCTCCCATATGAGGAACTTAGGACTGAACTCACTCACTTACTGTTTTTTCTCACACGCACACACACACACACACACACACACACACACACACACACACACACACACGCAGAGACACAGAGCAAGAAAATTTATCTACGACTCTCCAGTTTTACAGTTTTCAAGATTAAACATTGTTGAGTTGAAAAATGAAAGCTGAAAAAAAGAACGCCAAAATCCCGCAGAGGAAATGAAGAATATGTCTAGCATACAGCGCTGTCACTGTCATGGTGGAAACCCCTCCTTTGCCACAAACCCACCCCCACCTCGACACAGTGTGTTTTATTACAATCAGTACCTATGTCTGCTTGCACTGGGGAAAATGTGCAAGAAATAATGATCTGGATGGTCTTGGGGGTCTGGATTGAAGTGTTCCTGTAAGAATTCTAGTGGTGTAAGCAATTTATTTCTTAACACATAGTTCATATTGTTTAAGACACCCCATATATCTGCCAAGTGTGATTCGAAATATGGCTTTAATACAGCATCCAGCACACCAGGGGACAGGGAAATATTTCTAACCCCTCCCCCACCCAGACACCCGCCATCCAAAACGCAAGAGGAACTGAGTGTAAGCGAAGACAGAGCCACGCTAAATGACCACATGTGTGAGTCCCTCAGAAACAAGGAATAGATCATTCAAAATCTTTATGAAACAGGACAGGTCCATGAATGTACAGTAGAAGTGATCAGGTGGATTATTTACATTCATCCTGTCCCAAGAGATTGACAAAAACTGCTCCTGCTGATGACGGCTGTCAAAGTCACACTCAGTGAAATGTTTTTCACATTAATCTACAACAATCACACTTTCAGGACACTCCTTTGGTCTGATTTCACCATGTCCCAGCATGAAACTGCATGCACATGTGAGTTTGACGGATGAAACAATACTCTGTCAACACGTGCTGCACATGACAGTCATCAAATGTCTCCAGCTCAACAACAGAGGTTCAGATGTTAAAACGTCATGTTAAGTGAGCCACGTAATGAATAAAAGCAGAAATCCACTTGAACTTGTTTTGGTTGCTGATGCAGTTTTGTTATTTCCCTTCAGTAATATTTGGATCTTTCTTTGCAGTTCCTTTCTGATATTTACTCATGCGTTAGTAATAGATATTTGGGCTGTCACTTTTTACCAAAAATTCAAACTGTGTTTTGAACTCTGGTGGAAAAGTTCAAACTGTAATGCAATCCATGCACCCTTGACCTCTGTAAACCAATACAGTAACATTATTCTCTAATAATGGAGGATGTGGTTAAACAAGGTTGCACTGAGCGGAAAATCACAACACTGAAACATCTATCAAGCCCTGTGTGGAAGAATTTGGGGATATACAGTATATACACAGAGAGACCGGACTGTATGTAGACTTTACTCAGAAGGGCCGGCTTACCCTGCATCAACAGCAAGTTTGCAGGCTCACCTGAGGGTTTGCCACCTGCATGAAACGGCAAAAGAGGCACCATGGATGAGTGGCACATCAGCAAGTGTTTAAGGGTTTTATGGCAGGCTTCTTACTGTAGGCTTGGAAGAAGGAAAAGCACAAGTCATCATCATTGATAAGACTGCAAAAGTTGAACGCATCTGGACTTTGCATGTCATGCTCGATACTATGGATGTGCATTTCAAGTAATGAAGCACTGGCAATTTATGTATTTTTTACTGGTCAGCCAAGTTTTCTATGGTATACCGTTTTTCAGTACTGTGTGTCTAAAGGACAGAGGTCTCTAACTCCCAGTTGTGAATGAAACATGATGGTAAAGTGGGGATGGACACTTTGTCAACACTTAGCAAAGCAGCCCTCAATCCTGCTCTACTCTCCTCAAACATATTTCAACTCTTGTAGTTTTTGTCCGCCATGAGAGTTGCTTGTACTGCGGCTCAACAAACGCCATCAGCTGAGAGAGGCTTTCCCCTTCTCCTAAACTTGATGGGAGCATGTCTCCAGTCACCATATTTATTACAAGCAGGGTCATCGCACCAGCATCTGCTAACAGGGTAGATGTTGTGCTGTGAGACTGCTTATCATATGTCTCTGCTAACTTATCTTCTAACTGAGACACTGAATTCATACAGTTTTAAACTTGCATATCATAGAATTATATCTTGCACAGCACGATAATGTCGTCTTTATCATCAAAATACCTCCACTCATAATGTTTGCTCACTGCTGACATGGTGCATGTCCCTGTAAACTCAGTTGAGGCACTTGCACATGAACAAGGCCTGTAAGAGTAGTGTAGTGATACTCAATTAATGACGGTAACGAGTTTCTCGATTACTCAAATATTCGTTCTTGTCCCTACTCAATATTTGCTTGATGTTGATTTTCTGAAAAACCGACATCCCTGATGCACATTAGCTGTATTCCTGCAGACTCTTATGAAAGGGTGTCTCACCAATTATCAAATGTACCAAATGTTCAACTTGGACTTTGATCCTCTGTGTCTACTGTAGAAAATGAGATCTCAAACCAGGTCTAACTATAAGTTTAATAAAAGAGGAAGGCTTTAAGCTGACTCTACCTGGACAGGTAGGTAATTCTTACCGTGCATTCACACCAAGAGCAAATAAAATTGTTTACTTGTTTAATTTGCGCATATCTAGACTTGCTTCAATCCCTCGCATCATTCACTCTAGTCACGAAAATCATTTAATCCATTTGTGCGTCAACAGAGTGCTTAAAAGCCGTGGAAAGGGGCTGAGAACAATAACTTCAGTTTTGTCAGAATTAAGGAGATAAGTCATGTGCTGACCACCTGAAGGAAACATAGACATAATGAGATCAGAAAAAAAATAAATAAATAAAAAATATGTCTATTGTTTCCTGAACAGAGCGATAAAACTCCTCTCAAAACTCCAGTGGACCGAGTGTGAGTTTGTGTGTGTGAGAGAGACGGGGATAGTGAGAGGTTGAGACTTGCACTTCTATGTCCATGTGGACTTAGTCAATAGAAGACCTGTGAACTCTGCTGTGGCTTCAGAGATGAGCCTCTCTCTTGAGACCTGCAATAGGGAGTCCAGATTGATTTGTCTGAGAGAGAGAGAGAGAGAGAGAGAGAGAGAGAGAGAGAGAGAGAGAGAGAGAGAGAGAGAGAGAGAGACCCAACAAAATATGGAGGTTAAGAAGCCAGCTGATATCTGAGGATTGGATATTAAATGTAACATTTAATTGATGGACTTACATCAAAGACAGGCAGTACCTTTATTATGATACCTGCGTCCTTGGCCATGCCCCCTTTCCTCCAAAGAGTTACAGGTTTTATGGCAGAGGTTTGTGTGGAAGGAAGAGAGGGAGGTTAGGGGTTAGACATAAAAAAAAAAAAAAAAAAAAACTGCATGGTGAGGGGGGGTGAGGGCCAGGGGGGAGGCAGAGTAAACAGGCAGTAATTAAGAGCAGAATATTCGCTATCATTGCAGTTTTCCTACTGCTAAGCACTGCTTCAAAAGCTCTTTTTTCTCTCTCTCTACACCCAAGGCAAAGTTTCAGACACATCAGCCGCTATCCTGCAGCACAGAGTCACTGTGTGTATGTGTGTGTTGTGTTTAGTGTGGTTGGTATGTGAGGCCCTGGGCATCTTTAACGCCAATTAAGAAAATGGGCAAAGAAACCAACCCCAGCTGAACTAGTAAGCGCTGACAGAGAGGAACTGAGGAAGTAAGGAGAGAGGAAGAAAGGAAGGAAGGAAGGACAGCATAGTTTCTGGATTACATTATTAACATCATTAGATATGTATATCACCAGAGAAGGCATTTTAGGCCTATGTGGGAAGATTTAACCCCACAGTTTTTATCTGATGAGCATCCAGAGTCATCTTCAGAGATTCCAGACAAACGAATGTCCCTATGGGGATCAGTGAAGTTCTTGTATTGTATTGTATTATTGTCTTCTATTTGTGCAAATGGGTCTTAAAGAAATGATTCAAAAGGAGCTGATTTATTTGGAGATAACTCTTCTTATAGTGTTGGGGATTTGAAGGTTTATCACCTTCATCCTTCATGAGCAGGTTATCCAACTGAGACAGCAGGTGCATAATGATTTTTTCTCTTTATATCGTTAGAAGTGCAGGTCCTGTTGCTTCCCGATTCATCAACACAATTTGTACTGCACATGTGCGTAATGTACGTCACTCTACAAGCCAACTTTGCGACAGCTCAGCAATTCTTTGCCCCTATCAGTCTGCGACACCTTTAACACTTGTTCGACAGCTTCAGCGAGCTCACTTCAGTCAAAATGGATGCTTCAGTTTTTACCATCACCAGCTTTTCTCCTAAACAGAGTGCATCCCCCGACTGAAGCAGAAAAGTCAAGAGAATGTGTTTCACACTTAAAGGTTCCTACCACTGGCTTAATCGTAAAATTGCAACATAGTTATAAAACGCTGGAATGAAAATGAATATTTCATTGTTAAAATTGAAATGTATAAAAACACTGAAATTTATTGTCCATAATGTTTAGGCTTTTTGTTAATTAATTTAATTTATTAAATAAATGAAATGAAATGAATACTTTTGTTTGTTGAAAAGGGGGGTTAAATAAATATGCTGGTCATGTGTTTCATATTCAAATTTACACTCGCACAGTATGGCTTGGGTAGGTAGCAATAGTCACAACTAATTGTCGTAAAATGCATTGAAATATGAGGAGAAGAAGTGATGTACATTTCACACATGCGCAGTACAAATCAGGTTTTCAGGACGGTTTGGGTAGCGACAGTCCTCTTCCAAAAAGGCGGCCATCTTGGACTGCCATTTTTCTACAGCAGCACAGAAAGGACAAACTAGTCCAAATGTGTTTTTGTAGTTGGAAAGTATTTGTGCTTATGTTAATGTTAGAGGATGTGGGAGAGAGTGGTTGTTGTATGTAAAATAATGTGTATCTACAGTCATTTGTGACAGCAAAAACTTGACAAATCATACATCTCAGGCCACAGTTGCATCATCAAGAGAGACGTGAGCATTGGACTGTTTTAATTTAGAATATATGTACAGGTCTGACAATTAGTGTAAAAAAGTATTTTATAAAGTATAAATATTTTTTTTCTTTTAGGTGGTTTCATCTTCATTGACATTTCTTTTATTCTTTGCAGTACCTGCAGCTGATGCACAATGTATCAGCTAACTCAGACTTATGATTCTCAGATCCCATTGCCATGGTTTCATGTACACAAACAAGTGAGGAACATAGTGGAATTAGAAACTGTAATCACTCTCTCTGCTGAGTTACAGCAAAGAAGGCTGCTGCTGCTGTACCGGTGAAACAGGAGCAGGAACACAACAGTGCTGTCCAAGCTTTTAAAGCAGCAGCCAGAGCAGTAATTAGCTTATTGCCGGTTCTCAGGCCCAACTCATTTGTGTCAGCCACACAGTAACTCAGACTGAAATATACCTGCTCGACATCCTGAGTGATGGCAACAACAAGGAGAAAGAGAGAGAGGATGAGGAAAGGAGAGGGAGAGAGAACAGGGGGTTGATTTGTGATGCTGAGGCCGCCTTGCATGGTTACAAAATCCTGCTACAATTATTTATCCATCTGTAATAATTATCAGATCAGGAACAGGAGTGAGGGGAGGGGGAGGGGGAGAGGAAACAAGTAGACCTTGAGGATTTATTTGGACCAAGAGTTATGCTGTTTGCCTGCAGCTAAGAAAATAAAAGAACAAAAAGTTGAGACGTTTTTTGGCGCACTTTCAATCAATAAACAATATTCAGAAGCATTTTCTTTTTGTTGTTAGAGAAACAGTGATGCAAATTAAAAGTCTAACAGCCTAGTGAACATGCAAAACAAGGTTGAGATGAAGATTATTGACCTGTTTGGTAATTGATGCAGCTATGATGCTTTCTAAAGTAATCTCAATAACTGCCCACAGTTGTGTCGACATTGTTTGTTGCTAAAAAGTCATGAAAGCCACAGGAAATTTGTATATGTATCATGTATCAGTTAATCACAATTTAAAAGCTTAAAAGCAGGGCCAGCTAAGGGTTATAATATTCAATGTATCATGTTTGTTGATTCTTTAAACTTATTTGAAAAGTAAATTTTCTTAGCTTCACATAATATATGAACATATTTATTTATTTATGATTTATATTCTTTCAGTTTCAGAGGGTTCGATTTGTAATGGTTATTTTCCTTTTTTAGACCTAGGGTAAAAATCTGCTGCTTTTGCTCAGATTTACACTTATTAATATTTTTTCTATTGTAAAATCTGTTTTAATTAACAATGCCTGACTTTTTTATTCCTTGAATTTACATTGGCTACACTAAAAACAAGCAAATGATCAGTCATTTCAGTGTTTTGCTAATTGCATCCCAATCAAAGAAATTTGTTAAAATGTTGACCACTAAGGTTGCACCCCTGTTTAGTTGCCTTATGAATGAAAAGGATGGAGTTTATTTGACTACATGGTATAAAAAAATCTGCAGTTTGTGTATGATCCTCTGTCTGCCAAGAGTGACACAGCCAGTGATCAGGTCTCAGAGGGAGCTGATTTTCACAGTGGGCCTGGTTGGTTTGAATCAGTTTTCCCCTCAATCAATAAACTCATCACTTAAAAACTGTATTTTGAATTTGTTCAGGTTATCTTTGTTTGATAATCAACTTTGTATGATGATCCAAAATGTGTGACAAAAAGCAGAAACAGAAGAAATCTGTGAGGAGAGAAATACTTTTTATAGCACTGTAAATATTCAAACTTGATTGATTTGGGTTCAGATTCCTGCTTTTCAACCTGCAGTTGTTTGATTTCACCTTTAGTTATTTGCCCTGATTTACTCTGGTCTTTAGGAACTCAATCAATGATGATGTTTTTCTTAGATTGACTCTCCAGGTACTGTTGTTTCCTTGACAGACTCTCTCAAACTCATTAAAGATGTTCTCAAGACTGGAGACATGGTCAGAAAGTCATCTAGATCTTTTTGTGAGAACTGCAGACTGTCTTTAATATCCTGAATATTCCTCATGATGTTGTCCATCCTTTGATTAGTTGAGTCTATGAATATCTGGAAAGAGGTCTCCAAAGTTTCTCTCTATTTGCTCCATCAGGTCTTTGAAATATGATTTCTGCTGATTTAGCAGCTCATAAAACAAACCCAGTGAGGGTGTTTCTTCTTCCTGGTCGGATTTCTTTGGACCCATGATACATGAAAGTGATCAGCAGAAGAAAAGCATCCCTCACTTCAGTCCAAAAGTGGACATAGCTGATGAGCTGATGGGCCCAGCCTGGTGGGAGCTGGTTGAGACTGGAGTCTATAGGCCCTAGATTATTTCATCAACAAAATATTAACTTCCAGTCTCAGATTTTACTCCAGTTCGATAGAAGAACACCCTTAACAATGAGTGTTAAGACTTGAATTGAAAAATACTGAGAATTATGGAGATTTTTGATGGATCAAGTTAAAAGTGGACCATTTGTAGATCAGTTACGTCACAGGGTCAGATTTTCCGGTAGATGACAAACGGCGGGGAGGTGGTCCTGCAAAATGGGATGATTGGTTAAATGAAGAGAAATGTGGGATTCAGACAAACAGAGACTGAGACAAACAGATATCCCAGCCTCTTTACCTTTAAACCATTATTCAAATCTGCAAAACTGAAGCACTACAAGTCTGTGCGAGTAGTATCCCCAGTCAGATGTTTGAGGAATAAATCTTTGTCCAAATGGTCCAGAAATGTCTCTAAAAAAAAGTTTGATTTGACTAAATGTCAGCGGCGTTCAGCTGTTCTGAATCTGACAGCAACAAAACTAGCTTCATGGGAAGCTGTCAGGTACTTTTCCAGTTTGTCCATGAGAAAACTTAAGAAGAACAGTCAGAATTGTTTTCATTCTTTGCATTCAAGACCAAAAAAACTGAAGAAGAAGAAGAAGAACCCTCAGAGCCAACAGATTCACATTGCATAATTTTCCTCATAAATTTGCCCTGCAGTCACAAAAAAGCAGCGGCCTTGTAAGACAGAGGAGAGTGTTGCAGTATCTTGGCAGTCCATGCCAGGTTGTCTCCTTGTAATTGTTTGTAACGTCACGCATGATTTTTGAAAAGGTTAGTGTGCTCCCACTGTGTCAGTGTGTGTGTGAGTGTGTGTGTGCGGGTGTGTGTTCGATAGCTTGGCTGCAGGGTACAGTCTTGGTGTGTCTTGCTCTTGTCGGTGTAAGAACAGATGCTGGAGGCGAGCCCCTGGGCTGCCCTCAGGGCTTCATATACTCTGGAGAAACACACAGCTGACATGCAGCCATGAACGCAGCTCTCTCTCTCTCTCACACTCACACACTCACACACTCACACATACTCATACACACACACATGCACATACACACAGGGGCAAGCCAACGCAGATCTTGTTAATGCTTGTATTTACATAGGACCTTCTGATCAATGTCATGTGGAATAATGCCAATTCTTTGAGACAGAAAAACACACACAACCATGTTTGCATTGTACACACACACACACACACACACACACACACACACACACACACACACACACACACACACACACACACACACACACCTCAGTAAATGCTTTCCCTCTGACTTCAGAAAGCTGCACTTAACCAGCTAAAGGATGAATGCAGCTGCTGTGTAGAAAGGTCGCTGTTAGCTCTGCCTTAACACTTCTTACCTGGTATTGTAGGTTCAATCTAATTACCTGATTGAGTTGCCTACGTGGATTTCTCCTCCATCTGTCAGTGCGCTCTGAGCAAGCCGCTCATTATCACAGCCGGACTGACTTTAGGTACAGGTTGTGTTGTACTTTCAAAACCCTGAGGTGTCATTATGGCTGTCACAGTCAGTCAGGTGGGTGACACACGTGTGTTAAGTCTGCACACACACCGCAAAGCAACCTGTGAATGTTTGCAGGTTTGCAAATCAAAAATCAGGTTTGTTGCTGCTCCATAAATATGAGAATGAGGGTTTCATGTGCCTTTAGTAAAGTGATGTCTGAGCTCTTCCCTTTTTTCCCCCTTGGACTTTTTTCCTGAAAGCTCAACCTCAGAAGCCTCTCCTTCGGTATCATTCCTGTAGCACCAACCTTATACTCAATGTAATGCTTAAAATAACGGAACAGCTGTCTGAGGTCAAGCTTTAACTCTTAGGGCTCTCCCTGGTAACTGGCTGTAATATGGGTCAGAAAGCCCACCCCCTCCTTTGTGAGATGGAATAGGAGCCAATCATAAGATTAGAATACACATCTTTTTCTTTTGTATCTTAAACCTGGTTTCTGTCCACAAATTGCATTCTTAAAGTGCTGATTTATGTCTGTCTGAATTAGTTTGTTTTTTTTTTTTTTTCAGCAGGTGATTGATTGACAGCTTTGTTGACCAGTGAGGTTAATCAGGATAGCACAGAATGGACAAACCTGTGATATATGAATTTTTGTAGTTTTTGCATTACTTGGCAGATAGAGAAGGGGAAAAATGGTTGTTGTTGTTGTTGTTGTTGTGCAAAAAAGTTCTAACAGAGTCAATATTTCAGTCGGGGTTGAGCAAAGGAGTGTTTCAATCCAGAGTCTGACCATTAGATAATGCACATTGCTCTCTTTTCCAAACACTAAGCCTGTAAGTCATAAAGTGTTTCAAGATTTTAACATTTTGGCCCTTAGGAGAGAAAACCCGTGTTCTGCAGTGACCTTGATGATATTTTTACTGATTCCTCCGACTTTTATCAACATTTCTTTCTAACAGCAGATTGCTGTTTCGACTGTTTGATATTGTCCTTTGGTGTTAACCATAGACTGTATATAGAATAGACGTCATCTGCCTCCTCGCTGTGTGAAGCCTCCCCCTAGTGACTGGTTGCAGTATAGGTCATAAAGCCCGCCTCCTCCAGCAATATATTTTCTCTCCCCTGGTTTCGATGTTGACATGTAGTTACTGTAAGACTGGTTTGTGTTCAAGTCCTCTTTTATTCTGTGCAGCTCCATTTTTAAAAGTTATTATGGGTTCATGTTTTCTATGATTGACACTTGATACAGCCTATGGGCGTGTGAAGACTGCTTAGCTCCCCTGGGGTATACGCTGTTTGAGCCGAGCGTCATAACAGTGAACGCTACAAACAGTTTCAGGAAATGGAGAAAATTGGCGGGAGGCAGAGCCAAGTTGTCTATACTATAAACAGTCTATAGCGTTAACTTCTTCATAGGTCTGAATATATGTTAACCTGTGAATCTGATCCCTGCAGGATCATTTTCTGCTGGGCCTCCAGTTTTGCTCAAAGGTGACTCCTGTTAATTGGAGTTTTACACAAAGAGATGCTTCTGAAACACCCTGATCAAAAATAGAGAAATGGTAATAGTTCTTGATGTCTGAAAGTGTTTATTTCTCATTTACGCTCTGACCTTTCTCCACTCTGCTTTCCTTGGTCTTGATTTTTTTTTTATCTTTTCCCTGTCATGAGCACTTCAAGGTATCTCACATGTGTTAGCAATGCAGTCTTTTTACGATGTGCATCATAAAACCACTCCTGGATATCATTTTGAGGAAAACCTCCTTTTAAATAATGTGTAGGTAAGAGGAAATGCAGGAAGGAGAGAGGAGAGGAGGACAAATGAAAGGAGAAAGGAGGAGATAGCGGGTGTAGAGAAGAGGCGACGGGAGGAATGACGGCAGTGTGCGGCGGAGGCATATGTCACATCCTATCAGGCGACAGGACGAGTGAAAGATACAGTATTGCCTCTGCTGTGTTCGGAAACGACGGTCACAACACACACACACAGACACACACACTAACGCAGTGCCGGCCTGGCCCGGCCATGCTTATCTGGCTCGCCACGGCTGCGCGGCCTCCATGCAGAGCAGACGCAGCTGTCGAAGGAGGCCTGGATCATTTTGGACAGTATCATTAAATGCCATGTCATTACCCGTTATGGAGTAGTGCTCTCACTCCCTGCTCCTCTCCCGGGATGGCGAGGCCCATCTGATAGGTATGGGGAAGTGTGTGTTTGCATGCGTGTCAGTGCATGTCGGCATTGCCCTGTGTTTGCGTCTGGCGAGGAGGGTTTGATGAAGGCAGGCAGAGACGGAGGCGGAGGGTGCGGTGTCGGCTGTGGAAATGGGATGGACGGGGTTGAGAGATGGAATTGGCATTAAATTTCCGACGTGGCACGAGGATTGACTTTGACTGGAGCGCAAGGGGGCTATTAGCTTATCTTTAAGGCCGTGTTTGTCACAGCGCTGAGGGCAGCTCCGCTAGACAGGCCGGGAGAGAGCGAGGGAGGGAGGGAGCGCCGAGTGGAGCTGAGCGTGGGCTGAACGATATGGATAGGTGAAGGCTCCCGGTGGGACTCGCTGCCTGAGCCGACGAGCTGCACGGGGGAAGGAGAGGAGGAGAGCAGCTAAATTGAAGGTTTATTTATCCAATTCGCTGTCAAGGTCGGCTTGTCGGTGAGCTGTCCTGTGTGTGTTCACAAAATGCCAAAATCTGGATGAATTGTTTAAAAAAAGAGAGCACGCCTTGAGGAGGGGGGAATCAATGACCTTTGGTTGCGTCAAGCTTCAAGCTGCCAGCAGCTCTTAAGGCTGTCCTTACCGGCCATTATAGTTGCCTTTTAAAAACAAGGCAGGGGAGAGAGGAGCTGTCGAGGCGGAGGAGTCTAACATTGACACAAACATACACACACAAACACAGGGAGACGCACACATGCACTCATAATGCCTGCATGAGCTACTTGAGCAGCAGTTCCTCCTGATGGAAACACCAAGACTCTGCTCAACACTTCAACAACTTTCTGGATCAAACTCACTCAGCAGTTACCTCATCCTGCATGTGTCTGCTGCAGCTTACAGTCTGTTTCCATCACCAAACACAACACAGCCTCTATTAAAAGGACACCTGCTTATAGGCTTTCGCTCATTCTGCCTGAGTGGATGCTGCAGCAGCTCCAGAAGTGAACCACAGTGGTGCTCATCAGTGATAATCAGTTTATCCTGTTACATCTCAATGAATAAGACGGGGAACGTGGAGCGTCAGGGCTGATGGGCCTCCCTGGTTCAGCATGACTAGCCCCGGAAATGCAGGTTGAATAGGAAAAAGGGCTTTTGATGCAGCGCATTAATCAGTTTGGCTTCAGCTGGAGCTGCTGCGTCTGCAGTGCAGCAGCGGTATCCTTTAGAGGGACCCCCTCGTCAGAGTTTTGGAGGGCCTCTGTCAACGTGAAAAGAACATGACCTTTAAGATTGTATCAGCATGTTTGCTGGTGCATACACAGCCAGGGAAAGGGTTCAGTGGCCCATCAGAAAAAAAAGGAGTGCAAAGAAAAAAAAAACAAGCAAAAAAGACAAGGAAAGAAAATGTAATTCACTCAGACTCAGAGGGCTTTTTGAAAGAGCAGTTTGCTGATGCTCAAGAGTGAGGAGCGTTAATGCCACTAAAGAAGTCAGGGAAATAAAGACCAGAATGACCTCAGCGCTCACTTTGATTTGCTTTCATATTTTTGTTCTTTACTGGGATCTAGTTTGATAAATGTCATATTAGAGTTTTTTTTCTCCTCCAAATACATCTGAAATGAGTGGAATCACCTTGTATTTGGGGATATTAGGAATAAAATAACATTAAAATAACATTACTGATTGCAACAACCAGCACCACTCATCTGTAAAGTGAGTGAAGCCTTCATGACTGAAGATACTGACTGAAGCAAAGGAGCACAGATGTTAGACAATCAATCCAACAAATGAGGCAGTGTCAGGATTTTAACTGTCCATAAAAACATAGATAAATTCAAATTACATAATTTCTCAGTCATGTTTGTATCATGTATATACATATATTGTGTATGTTTCTTATGGTTAGCATTTTTAAAACCCACAGGATGTGTGTTGAGCGCTCTGTCACCATTGTGTTCTGGCTCAGTCGGACATTGCTGTCACCCACTGTAAGCGTGTTTGTAGCGTAGCAGCAGCGTAGTGCAGTACTGGTCAGCTGGACTCAGTATACAGAGACCAGCATGCTCACAACAGGCTGCTTTGCCTTTCTGTGGTCGATTTCCTGCCAATTTGGATTTCATTCTATCACTGTTGAAAAAGCTGCAGGATTTAAAGTTTCGGTTCTTGCAGGTTTACTCATGTTTAGTAAAGTAAACTAGCTGCTAACTCTGTCTAAGGATAACAGCGTGGTGAGGTAGAACATAAAGGTCCTGTTGCGGTCCATGCAGATCAGGGACAGACCATGGGGTTTTTCTGTGTGTTTATGTAGATCCATAACCAGGAAGTGTTTCTTATCTGCATGAACTGGTAAACAGTTGCATATGGTGTTTTATTCTGAAATTACCTGATGACATGAACCACTCCCGTGTGTGACATCCTTTCTATGATGATCTTTGCGGACCGTGCTCTACATGCAGAGCAGCATGTAGAGACGTTTCTGGGAAGGAGCTGAGACAGGCCACAATGCTTAAATTGTGAACGTACTTGCGCCGTAGCACGCAACACTGATGAAGAGTGCTCAACACCCATCCTGTGGGTTTTGAGTTTACATCAAGTGTGTGTGCCCTTATTGAGTCTCATGAAGAGCTGATACTGATGTGATAGAGGTCATCTGTCACCTCCTACAGCCTGTCTGTAGACCGACTGATCACTGTCTGTTCTATTACGCGCGCACACGCACACACACACACACACACACACACTGATAGAGAGAAAGAGAGAGAGAGATTTTGGGTATGTGTGTCTGAATTTTCCACAGAATTTTAAAACTGAGTTGACAGAAAAAGGAAATGTTCCTCCTCATGCAGAGACACCTGACACTTTGTGTACATAACATGATACTTAATCTAACGAACAGAAAGTGTTTGAACTTTTCCAATCTGTGGCCTTAGATATCTATCCAGACCTTATATATTCACCTGTTCACGTTGATGACACAGCTTTGTATTCCTTTCTTGTAAATCCTGATGCATTTCATGTTCCTGGAATGAGCCTAATTCCAAATCCCTGTTTCCATCATGTAATACCAGCTGAACAGAGTCTGAAACGCCACATCCAGCCAGAGTGTGTACAGTGTGTACCCCCTCGGCGTTAGAGATTAAGCTGCATTAACACATTGTTCCTGTGGTCTCAGCGGTACATGGTCTGATTACTTTAAGTGCAATGCTCGTTTCTTTTCAGGTTCCACAAAGAAAAGTCTCTGGATGTAATGGTCCTTTTTTTTCCTGCTGAACCGCTCGCATTTCCCTCAAGCATTCTGTGATTACAATTTCCATTTTTCCCTCAGCTCCCTCTCTTTTTCTCTGTCAGAGTTAAGGAGAGATCACACAATATCTCCACTGCAAATTTTCCTGGGATAAATATCCCAGGGCGGCACAACCACCGCCTTTCCAAAGCTCGCCATATCTACAATTTGCACTGCCCGATGCAGCTTGTTAAAAAGAGAAGGATGAAAAATAAAAGAAAGTAATAGTGTCTGCTTTCATGAGACATGCGTCCCCAAAGCCATGCAGTGATCAGCATCTGTGTCACGTCTCTGCTGTTTGCAGTACGGCACACAAGTCTAAAGTCAGGCAGTGAAAAAAAAAGTCTAAAGCTGAGGCAGAAAGAAACAAAGTGGAACAAGCATGTTTCCCTCGTCTCCCATGTTATAGACTTTCTGCAAGAAAAATGGCAGTTTTGACAAGTGATGACAAAACCATGATCGAAAAAATCAAAAACCAACTTCTTCATTCATACCCTGATCAATGCTGATAATCATTCCAGAAACCCAAGAACAGCATAAAACGCTGAAAATTAGTTTTCTCCAAATGCTTTCTCCTCCTTTGCTCTCTTTCATCGTTGTCCAATAAAAACCACGTATCTCAATTTTTTTTCAGGAACATTAAAGAACAATTTCATTCATAAACTACCTTACAGAATAAAACAAAAACACTGTAATTAGACAAAAGTAGGACCCGAAACCAAAAGCTATATTAACACAGTCATCAGTGACCTGTTTGATATTTTAAATGGACTTACGTGCTTTGCATTGTGAGTGATGGTGGACATACGTGTTTTTTTCAATAATGCACTCCAATGACGTTTGGTTATTTACGAACTTTGAGTATCCTGTTTATGTCCCACTATGTTGATAAACAATTGATAATGGGCTATCCTACATTTCCACAAAGCTCATTGGTTGTCAACCTTTTTGAGTCGCGACTCCCAATTGAAGATGCACTAGTGTCTGTGACCGAGTGTGAAAGAGAAAACAGCAGCAGCTTTGCCTCTGGGGATGAACTTTGGCTTAAGAAATCTAACACACAGGTAAGCAACACTGTCATGGTTAGAAAAAAAGTTTGAGGTTGGCATCAGTCGATGTGAGGACATTAGTGTACCATTACCCCTGACTGTCACAGTGTAAAGTCTGTTTGCTAACATGACAACTCAGGGCCAGGGCAGGAGATATGTGCGGGAGTCCAGATCACTAAAAGTGGAGATGCATGTTTTTCATCAGACAGCAACGATATGAAACTGTTTCCTGCATCAAACCAAAGAGGTTGTTTTAACTGCTCGTCTCTCTGACCAATCTTTGAAAAATGGAGCCAATACAGTGGTGCAAAAACTACATTTCCTCCAATGTCCACTAGAGGCCTGCTGAAAAAGCACAAGAGACCCATAAGAGCCCATGTTAACTTACACTGAGATTTAAATCTAAAGATCCTGGTACAGAGAACAGATTTGGTCTCTATAGCTCATTTAGTTTTTACAGCTGCTTAGGGCTGACTTTTTAAAAATAATAATTTTATGCATCAGTACACATTGTTGGTGTGGTTTGCTAAGTAGCAAGACTGTCACTTCAACTTCAGTCGTTCTTACTTCGAAGTTATTCAGAGTCATTATCGTCTATATGTATTTTCAAACACAGAGTACTGTCTTTTTTGTTCAGCATCTTGTCTTGGGATAACTCTCGTAGTGAATTAGGGGACTGCGCACACCCCACCTGTTAAATGATTGAAACAGAAATGTAAGTAAATTTCAAATTTAATAACAAATCAAAATTAAACTAAAGTCAAATAAAAATAACAAGGATAAAAATGATGAGATTTTCAAAACTATAATAACCTTCACCCCCTTTTTCAGGTATGAGGAATTTACATTTATGCAGGACACACAGTTTGAGTGTAGTTTCGTTTGTCACTTAAATCTCCAAACATGCAGATCTAAATTTAAAGAATCTAATTTTTGAAAAAGAAATATGTTTTCTTCATATTTAAAAGAACAAAACACTCAGTCCAGGTTCAGACAGTCTGTAGTATAGAGTGAAAGAGACACCATGCTTATAAAAGCTAATATAAATGATGAAGACTCCACCTGGACTCAGACACTGGTAATAAGGACTGGACTCCGACTTGACTTGTATTCCTCTCTTGTGACTAGGATTTGACTTGGACTTTAAAGACTCAAGACTGGATTTTGAATCAACTACAACACTTACAGTGATCACTGAACACACTGGAGAAGTACAAATGCAGCAACCTCCAGTCCTGAGATATGACATCAGTGAAGAGGAGTTCAAAACTGCAGTTTTTAGTAAAATTCAGCTCTGGAGAGTAACGTCACTGTTGACGTTGTTTTAGATAAAGATTTAAATACACCAAATAAAAAAGGTTCTTCCTGGTGATTACTGTTTTTTTCTTTTTTAACTTCAGATCTTGTTACATTTGACGTCATTTGAAAATTTACTGAATTGTATCTAACAGCCTGTTATTCTAATATAAAATGTCTTGCCAGAAGGGTTCAGTGAGCCAGGACATTCACAACCATCCTGATTCAGAGAGGTTTGGTGTATATTACTGTATGTATTAGCATTGAGCAGAACAGACTTTTTAGAAATGGAAAAAAATATTCATGAGTCTGTTAAGATTTGGTTGCAACCATCCCAGTAAAGAAAACACTGACTCAGAATGAGCCTTTGATATCTATGTAAAAGTAGGTACCCATCCACAGGGATGGCCTTCTCACTGCCATGTTTCTACAGAAGCACAAAACAGACAAACTAGTATGAAGATGATTCTGGAGGCAACTCATATTACAAGAGATCTGAGTGGTATCATGAGCTGCAGGGAGTTTTCCAGCATGAGCTCCAGCACCCAGTATACATTCAGCATAAATACTTTGAGAACTGTAGTTAGTGGAGCTAATTTGACTCACTCTTGTGAACATTTGAAGAAGTGTTGTGAGCAAATGAGGGCAGAACCCAGAGGACTAAAAACTCCATTATCATCCCCTTTTTTTGTGTTTCTTCACACCTGTTTTTAGAGGATGTAAATCGTGTCACTAATGCTGTATTAACAAAGCAGCTTCCCTGACTGTTTAAGACAAATATTAGCCAACTCATTGTAATTGTTCAGTTGTGTGTTTGTAGTTCTCAAAGCCAGTGGCCAGAAAGAGAGAGAGAGAGAGAGAGAGAGAGAGAGAGAGCCACAGTCTGAATCTGTGACCTGCATCCCTGAAGATCAGGAGGTCGACCTCCTCTGCTGCACCCCAACACGTTTAACCTCACCTACCCTTTGGCCTCTACACACAGAGTGGGTTACACTGTGTGTGTGTGTGTGTTTACTCATGTAACCTCCTGTGTGTGTATATTGGCTGAGGGCTGGAGTGATGGTAAAGTGAGGGGGAGAAGGGGTGACTTTAATCCTCACCTTTCCACCCCCAAGGTAAGACTGAGAGGATGAAACGAGAATTTAGCCAGACCCCTGTGTGTAGTAGTAACTGTTGGTTTGTGTGTGTGAGTGTGTGTGTGTGTGTGTGTGTGTGTGTGTGTGTGTGTGTGTGTGTGTGTGTGTGTGTGTGTGTGTGTGTGTGTGTGTGTGTGTGAGTCTGGGCCTCGGCCATAGAGAATGAATGGGTTTAGTACCGCGGCCGGACAGAAAAATCAATGCTTCATATGAGGAGGCTGCGGGGGTTAGGCCTCCGTGTTCATGTCAACAAGGCTATTGGTTTTCTTAATACTCCAAAGTTGGCGTTTCCCCGCTTCGGGAGGGCCGCCGAGGTGACTTGTGTGGTCAAAGCTTAACAAAGGGATCCTGCCTTCTAGCCCTTGCTGTACTCCTTGGCCAAGGGAAGCCGGGCCAGGATTAATTACCAAGTGTGCCGGCTGGATATTAGTTGTTGTTTTCTCCCATTGTCACATGGCGCCACTGGACTGAGGCTATTGGAGGCAGCTTGTGTGCGGCAGACTGTGGGCTAATACTGTTAGATGGAGTAACACAGTTAGATGTAATGGTGGTGTGATGGTGGTGTGGCAATCATGCTGCCTCTCAGTGTGGCTTTCACACTATCTTCAAACCTGCTGCTATATGGTTTTTAAACCAGAGAAGCCGTCGTTCTACTGGGCAGAGATTAGCGTTAAATTTCTTACAAAACTAAAACTTCCACTATCATCTATATAATAGAATACTCCATCAAGACTGCATCTTCTTGTTTCTGGTAAATTTGCAGAGTAACGGGTCAATGGTGAATTTTTGTTTGTTCACAGTGAAATTTGAGCCTCCTGGTTGCCAGGTGAAGGGAGAAAGATAGAGTCACATGCCAATCTATGCCCAGGGTTTAAAAATCCATGTGTCCATGTGCACAGGTTATTTTCTGTGCATATGAATTCATTATGTACAAAGCCCTCTGGCTGCAAAGTCCAATAAATAAAAGGCCACATGCAAATCCTTGTGCATGGTTTGCAAATCTGTATGTGGACTGCAAGTCTTTACTCATGGTTTACAACCCGTGCATACATGGGCATATGGACTTTATTACACAGAGAAAATCATGGAAATCTCTGATGCAAAAACCAGCTGTAGCATCAGCTTTTGAATTTTGTGAGGGTTTTTAGGATTTATTTCCGTATATTATGACGGAAAGGGTGTAGGCAGAAGCAGTGCTTTCAAAGACCTACCCCTTATACCATACATGGAGTACATTATACAGATACACTCTTCATACAAATATCAACACTTCAATATATATTCACTCTTCGAATCAGAACAAGTGATGAATATGCTTTACACTTAACATTAATAATTTACAATAAATCAACAGATATAATTTTCTCTACAGTATTGAGAAATAACATTATTCTTGTAAAGCCTCTTAAAGCTTACCAGATTACTACATTTTCTAATTTCTACTGGACAGTCAATGGGATTTACTTCTTACAAAATCGGGTATGGATTTGCAAACTGGGCACATGCTTTGAAAATCTGCTCAGTTTACAATTCCTTACCTGGGTTTTTAATCAAATCAGCACCCATGGATTGAAAACCTGCACATAGACTGGAGATTATAACCTGTTGATATGAATTTGCAATACATGGGCACAGATTTGCATTTTTATTTATTTATTTTTTTACTCGGCACCCTGGGGGGTAATCAGCAAAAAATGATCTGTTATTTGCACACATAGACAACAAATCTTTGAAACTGGATGTGTAACCTGAGAGATAAGTGCAGCCCTGAATTCCTTTTATTTGCCAAAATTGCGTCCAATGTAAAAATAACGTGGTATTAGACAAGCAAGAGAAGCTTAAATTTTAAAAGTTATAAATTATATTAATAGCTGTTCAGCATTTTACTGAAATATTTCTTTAAACAACCTATTTATGTAACTGCAGCAGTGGAAGAGCTCAAAGTCAGTGGTAAAAAGTCATTAAATTTACAACTTTAAGTCCTGTAGTCACCTACAAGTTTTAAACTTGCACTTTCTATTAAGGCTGTAAATCTGATTACTCACTTCACTGGTGTCCAGGGGTCCTTAGTTAATGTATTAAAATGTAATTTTCAGGAGTTTCATTTTCGTTACTTCTTCTGTTTTAGACCAACCTGGGGAGACTCTTCAGACACTAGTTTCAAGGTTAAATTACTCTGGTGATTCTTAATCTGTTGGACACAAAGTGCACGTTACACTTGACTTTCAATTGCAATATCTGTGTCTTTTTTAAGGTAAAATATACCCTGTAAAAAGGTTGATAGTATATGAGTATAGGTTGATAGATAAATAAGATGGAGGCCTTTGTTTACATTGCAGAAAACAAAATTGTGATTGCCCCTCATGAAAGTCCTCTAAAAGAGAAGATATTCAGACTGAAACATATAGATTCATTACCAACCACAAAATCATTCATTAAAGGGCAGTTTTATCATTTTCACCAAAGCTAAAGCTGCAGCTTTGCCGTGATGTGCTGAAAAGAACAAAAAAGACATGCAAGTAATTAAAAAAAAAGGTGTTAATTTCAGACCTTGAATGGATGATTAACATGTCACTGCTAACAGCCCTACTTTCCATGAGTGTTTAATCCATCACTGTTATTTTAAAACTTAAATCACCTACTTCTTCATAGTATCTTATGGTGAAAGTTGCTCGGCTGTACCTTTGTAGAAGCTTTAGCTCATTTTTGTCTGAAAAACTTCCAGGAAGTAAATCAAACAGAGGGAAAATGGGTTTGAGTTTCAAAGGCTGTTTAATACCGAGATGCTGCTTTGACACATTTGTTTTATTAAACCAGCATTTCAGCGCTAGCCAAAGCCATTAAAATGTATAGTGAATTATATTTGGATACTTGGATTACATCAATCTTAGAGTATATTACTTGGGCATTTTCTTTAGCCTGTCTTTAGTAAATAGTGTTTATGGTTATGGTGTTCAGCGGTAAGTCAGGAGTATTACCTTGCTTTCTCGAGTCTTTCCTTTAAATCCTTTTTTGTCTTAACTACTTCTGCTACACTTTTTTCATCCGGATCTCTAACCATATTTCTGCACACATTCAAACACACAAACACACAGAAAGTGGTCGTTAGCGACACCATGCTATAGACAGCAAACCTATGGGGAGGGGTCTGAGGGTCGGCGGAGGCAGGGCCGACCCAGCCGTTGAGCATTGCTCACCCAGAGCAATCGGATGAAAACGCAGTGCAGATGTAATTTGTTTTCAATGGCTGTTTCAAAAGAATAATTGTGGTGACACCGGCAGGTCGATAATATGGATTTTTGTTTTCGAGTGCAGTGTGTGTGTGGCACTAAGAGAGGGCAGGAAATACAACGCTGCAGACCCAAATACAATAAAAATGGATTGTGTGTGTATGTGTGTGTTTGCAGGGGTATTTGCAGGTCTGGTAACCATCACTGGGCCCTGGACATCATTGGAAGGATTACTAAATGTGTCCTATGGGCTGCTATTCTCCCTCTCTGTCTCTCTGTCTCTGTTCCTGCCTCTCTTTCCTGCTGGTCTTTCAGGGGAAAAACAGACTTACCCTCAATAAACTCACTTAAAATGAAACACAGCTCGGGGAGAGAGGGGGCGAGGCTGAAACTGGAAATGTAAACCCAGCAGAGCTGTGTGTATGTGCATGCATGTGGGAAAACACAGGATACGTAATGTGCCGAATATCAGCAGTGTCCGTTAATTTAAACACCACTACCTTACTTAAAATCCCCTCATCAGCAGGATTTATGCTGTTTTAAACACTACTTAAATACAAGGTGAGGGATTCAAACCTAACTTAAAAATCTAACTCACACTGGGGGCCTTTTTTTTTCTCTTCATTCTTGCATCATCCTTAAAATCCAATAAAACCTGTAACACTCAGACCCAATATTCCCTTTGCAGCTGCAAACTCAGACCTACATCTTTTAAGTCCTCCTTTGACACGTTACTTGCTGATGTTTGTTATGAAAGCATGCAGGGTATAACAAAGTAAAAATGCATTACAGTCCAGTTAGGTCTCTCCCTTTTTAAAGTTTTTTTTTTTTTTTTTTTTTTTTTTGGGGGGGGGGGGTCTTGTATGACAAAGTTTTGAAACAAGATCAGATTTGTACAAAAAAAAAAAGATCATAGTTTCATATACTGTATATAATTTGCAACACAATAAATGACTATTGTGTAAAGAGTAAATTATTAAAAGACATTTTGACTATAATTATAAGGTATTTGAGTTATTGTTGCTTAGACTTTGCTTTCTTTAAAGTAACCTCCTCTGGCTTTAACAACAGCTTGGCATATACCAGGCATTCATTCCAAAAGTTTTTCTAAGGTATGTTCCAGGGATTGCATTCCAAGCTTTCTTAAGTTCATTAAAAAGAGACTGCTGATTCATGGGAAGTGTTTTTCTGACCGATCGATCCAATTCATCCCACACAAGCTCTATTGGAGAAAGGTCTGGAGACTGAGGGGGCCAAACCATCTTTTGAAGAACACCTTCCTCTTCTTTTTTGTCTAGGTAACCCTGACAGAGCTTGGCAGAGTGCTTAGGGTCATTGTCTTGCTGCAAAACAAACTTATGAGCCACACGTCTGAGTCCAGATGGAACAGCATGGTGCTGGAGGATGGACTGGTACTCTTCCTTCTTCATGATACCCTTTACTTCAAACAAATCTCCTACTCCATCACCTGAAAAACATCCCCATACCATGGAACTACCACCTCCATGCTGAATTGTGGGTGTAACACAGGGTGCTTTAAGACGTTCACCAGTTTGTCTGCAGACATTGACTCTGCGTTTTGAACCAAACAGTGCAAACTTGTTTCTAGTTATCATTAGTCCAGTATTTGTGAGCTTTTGCCCACTCATATCTCTTCTTCTTGTTCTGTGGATGAAGTAGTGTTTTTTTGCAGATACACAACCATTCAGACCAGCCTTTCTCAAACATCTTTTCACGGTTGTCAGAGATATGGGTTTCGACCTTGTCATGTTGGTTTCCTCCCTTATTTGTGGTGCTGTCTTTCGCCGATCTCTCTTACTGGTGACAATGCTATGTTTATCCTCTGCTTTTGTAGTAACTATCTTTCGTCCAGGTCTTTGTCTATCATCATAACTTCCAGGTCCCTCTAGTCTCTTCAGAGTGTAGTGGACTCCTTTGTTAAACACCTTTAGGTGTTTTGCAATTTCTCTTTCTGTGTATCCTTCTTTCCTGAAATGTACAAATCTGTACTTTTGTTTTTTTACTCAGTTGCTTCTTTTTAGCCATTTTTGTGGTAGTTTGAACGCAGTTGAGATTTATTAGGATTTTTGTATGCAGACTCTCAAAAGCCAAAAAGTTGAAGTGAATTATCTAACTGATTTTTTTTTTTTGCTTTTGCACTGAAGTTGTGACTCTTGCAAATGTTTTCAACCCTAAAACTAAGCCCTTATTATCTTTTGCTGACATAAATTTAGCAATGGTCTGTTAACATCAATGTATATCTAAAGGTAAATGGAGTAAAATGGTGCATTTCCATGAAAGCAACATCTGATCATGGAGTAAATACATCCCAAAATACATAAAACTCATGCTGGATTAAAAAAAGCATTGTGAACAAAAACTTGAAGTTACTTCCAGCTGTTCGGCCTGTAATGGCCTTGCGTCCAAACCTTTGGCCTGTACATCACTACTCCTCCTTGTATTTCAATGTATTTTACTGCAGTTAGTCAGTACTATTGCTACCTACCCAATCCGTACTGCGCAAGTGTAAATTTGCATTACCTTAAATCTTCATTTAAACTACAGATAGATTTCAAAAACCAGCTGACAATGTGACAGGTTAGCTAGCAGGAGGCTCCAGGGCTAATGCTGAGATATTTGCCAGGGCTCCTACCCAGCATGGTGAGACCTTTTGGGCCATGGAGAGTGCTGCCACTTGGTCAAATTTATGGTCCTCCGACTTTTCAAAGTGTCAAGGGGGGGTGATCTGGAGGTGTGTGGCCACCCATTGTCCACCCTTCCCGGGCCACAGAGTGCCCCACAACCTGGTCGGAATCATGGTTCTTTGACTTTTCAAATTATTAAGGGGGGATCGATTTCTTTTATTTTATAAATTAAATTTATTAACAAGAAGCCTACTATGGACAATGAATTTCAGCATTTGTACACAGCTTTTTAATTTCAACAATGACATAGTCATAGTAATTCAAGCCTTTTATGACTATGTTGCAGTTTTACAATTAAGCTAGTAGTAGGAACCTTTAATCATGAAACTGAGCGCCATTCTCTTGACTTCCCGGCGCTCTGCTCCAGTCAGGGGAAGCACTCCATTCAGGAGAAAAGCGTGCGGCTGGTGATAAACTGAAGCATCCTTTCTGACTGATGGTAGCGATCTCGATAACGCTGAAGCTGTCAAACAAGTGTTGAAGCTGTCACAAACCGCTGGGGGGGGGGCAAAGAATTGCTGAGCTGTTGGAAAGATGGCGAGTAGACAAAGTGACGTGTTTTTTGCACATGCACAGTCCAAATCGGGTTTCCGGGATGCATCAAGTAGCGACAAGGACCACGGCCTCGGCCCACATGGGCTGGATACTCAACCTCCCAGCCAACCAACACCAACCTTGCACAGGTTGCACAGGGTAAAGTTTTTACTCTTGAGGTCAGAGGGTTCGATATTATCTTCAAGTTTGCATCCATTTTCAACATACTCATTTCCATTTCTCTGCTTATTCCTCCATTTTTTCTTTGCATTGGACTCATTTCACAACAATGCTGCAACACCACAGCACAGATTGCATCACATGCTGTTTTTATTCCTACATTTCTGAAGCTTAGCAGAGATAATTAACATGTAAACCCAAGCATTCAGCTAAATGAACAATCACACAGAAGTATGTTTTCTGTTGGTCTCTAACTTTATTTATGCTGCACTAATGAAGTCGGAGTTTTCTGTGTACATGCCTCTGAGTATATGATGTTCATTGGCGATCATTACTTCACTTCCTGGACTAACTGTGAGATCCTCTGTGAGATCGCCCTCATTATTGGTCCCCATAATAACACTCTCCCTCTCTCTTTCTCTCTCTCCTCTGGTTAGTTAGTGTGCTCTCTAACTTCTGAATGGGCTAATTTGTCCCCTGCTTCCCCTTTGTCCTCCTCCTCCTCCTCTGATCTCCTCCTCAGGCTCGTCTCAATATGGCCTCTCTCTCACCAGATAATGGACACTTTGACCATTTGCCAAATCAGACACTGTTTTGCTGGGCGATGGAGTCGGGCCATTCTAATTCTTCACGGGAGGAAGTGTGTGTGTGGACGTGAGTGGGTTCATTGAGGGGGTGGGATTGTGTGACATTCAGTGAGTGAAGGTAGATTTAGACAGCACACTGGGGCCAGATGGAGAGGGACGTACAGTAAAAGGACATTATCCCCCTCTTGTCCCAGCCCTCGCTGACACTCTGTGCCCCCCGTCTCCTCTCTTTCTCTCTGTCTTTCTGCCCTATTCCCTTGCCGCGGGTGGTCACCAGAGACCAGACTGGGCTGATTTATTCTCCCCCTCTCCTGTCCTCTGCCTGACTGCCTCTGCAATGGAGAAATTTCCTTTCTCCCCTCCTCTCTCTCACTCTTCAGCGATACTAAAGGCAGGGGAAGCAGAGGAATGAGAATAGGAGGCTAACATTAGATCGTCTCCCTAATACACTCTCCCACTCTGTCTACTCCTGCTGTCCCACCCCACGGGTTGCCTCCCCTCAGCTACGTCTTCCTCTCAGGCTTTCTGAATGTGGTATGAGAGCACATGGAAAGCTATAAACCTATCCAGGTAGACTTTTTGTGCTGAAATAAAAAAACAGACTCTCAGTTTACATTTTTCACTGCATTCCTGTTTACATGTAATAGGTTATGTACTTTTTTGATTGTTTGTTAGGTTGTTTTATTTTTCACATAAATGTTTTAGGATAACTTCATGATTATCTGCCCAGTATTGTGTAGTCACAGGGAGCTCATTTGCAGATGGGTTGGCCAAATCCAACACTTAGGCAACCTCAAAGTTGCCCGAACCAGGCCAGTGTACATAAATCCAATTAAATAATAATTAACCTGCAAATAAAGATGAAACAAAAGTAGAGTGAGTGAGCCATCTTACTTTATTCCAATATTGACGGAGAAGGCTCCTCTGACAAGCATTAAACATATACATTATCTGAAACCAACAAAAGAGGTCATAAACATTTTCAAAAACAATCATCATTACTACATAACTTGAAAAGTTTGCTCTAAAATAGCTACAGCTCTGCTGTATGTTTTTACCATAATAGCCAGGACCTCACCCTTGCTCTGAGATTTGATGTCTGAGATTTACAATGTTGTATGTTATATGCCCCATAGTCTTTCATGCAGAAGGCACACTGTATAAATTTACATCCAAATTTCAAATCCTCAGTAGTGTAAGAGTTAGGCTCATTAATACACAGCTTTCATTAATCGTGTTTCATTAACAGTGGAAGCTGTTGTCTGGGTAAGCAGTTTTTTTTTCCGTTCAAATCACTCCATTATCGGTGTTTTAGTTACTTCCGTGAAATTTCAGTATTGTACCTTATGAGTACACTATCTCTCTGAGACGGTGCAGGTATATCAATACATGGTAACCAGGCTAATGTCTCCCGCTCTGCTAAAATGGCAAAATACCAACCAAACAATTAACAGCCAGCACTACACCTAATGCTAGTTAAAGTGTTTGCCAGTTCACCATCTGCTCCACTTACTGCTGTCTTTCTTTCTCTTTAGTGCTTTCTCTTTACTTCTCTTTCTTTTCTCACTTCCTGATAAGTAGCTCCACTTAATGGCTGATTTTGATGTTACTTTGGTTGACACACTTTAGTAAAGATGGATGTAGGTCATGTAACAGTGCGACAGGGATGACATGGGGCCCCTTTAGGGGGGTATCCATCTAAGATGTAATTGCAATTCGACCACTGGTTGTTTAATGGGGTTGCAATATTTTAGGACATTTTTGTGGAGTAAGGTTTGTCAGCCCTTGGGGGGCCCCCTAGTGGCCTGGGGCCCCAAGCAACTGCCTGCCTTGCCTGTTGACAAGCTCCGGCTCTACATACCAAAGAAGACCCAGATGCAGACTTACTGGCTGGCAAAATCAAAGTCAGTTTATTCCAAAAAAGGAGTCGGTACACAGGTTCCAAAAGAGCAAGGCAGAGGTATCCAAATCAGCAGGCAAGACGCTAAGTCAAAAGGAGGTCAAAACACTGAGGCAAACAAGAGAGATATACACTGGAACTCTGACACAGTGGACAAGACGAACAGAGGGCAAGCAAGGCTGGGTTTGAAATACACCGGGGCAGAGGAGTTAACGAGACATAGGTGAGACACATCTGGGTAATCAGGGGAGCAGGTTACAAAAGGAGGAGGAAGTCAAGTGACCTGAAACAAGAGACAAGAGTGAGTATCAAAATAAATCAGGAAACACAAGACAAGAAACATGAGGGATGAAAAAAAAACAACTAATCAGGAGATGTGACATGTTTGCCACCAATAACCTTGTCATCAGTTCACCATCATATCTCCTTTACATGTCTGACAGGAACTGACCCCTGCAAAGCTTCAGTCCTGACATGCTTTGAAATGTAAACCTTTGTTCTTTTTCCCATTGCTTGTAAGTTTATTATAGGCAATGTAAAATATATCCCAAAGCTGCATATTATTTTGAAAGTATGCCCAACAACAGCAGTCAAAGAGGGTGCTGACACAGAGGCAGGGTAGATACAGTTCCCTGGTTTGAGTTCAGAGCTTCAGGCTGCTTGATATGTCCTCTGCCATAATTCCGACTAAAAGATCCTGGTTTTATGCCAAACAGCTAATACCTCCTCTTAAGCCTCAACATATGAGGCTTTCCTGAGGCTCGTTCAGTGAGCAAAAGGCACAGCAGGCGGTGAGCTTTGGCGTTCGGGTGACACTCGTTACATCAGCCGGGCGTTGGGCTAATTGCCAGTGGGATGAAATAATTCTACGGATGCTGACAGGTGAGAGCGCACTCAACCATGACCGCCCAAGTATTTCTCCAGTGGGCAGGGAGTGAGGAGGACTGAAAGAGGCTCTGTGTTGAGATATAAAAACAGATATATGCAAATGAATGCACAGGATCTCAAAGACAGACACTGAAACACATATTCATGCCATTACAAGAATAGTTCTCTCT